TCTAAATAGAAGACTTTGTTGATCTTTCTGTCATATAAAAACCCATTCGGTCTTCAATTTTTAAGAGATATTTCATCTAAAAAATTCCCTATTTATAAAATATGTCATCTACTTTTAGAAGACCCATTGGTCTTCTAGCTATTTGTAGTAGACCCCTTCGGTCCTCCATCTACAACTCGGGACTTCTATTTGGCTGTCTATCTATAGTTCACCCACCCTTTTGGCCTTCCCCCTATAAAGGACCTTTTGGTCTTCTATCTGAACAAGATACCATTGGTCTTCTTTCTGAAGAAGACTGCTTTGATTACCCCTTTAATCATCCATCTATTGATGATCCATTTGGTCTTCTATTTATTGAAGACCCCTTTGGACTTTTATCTGTAGAAGATCCCCTTGGTCTTCCATATATAAAAAAGGTCTTTTGATCTGAAGAATATCTCTTTGAATTTCTTTCTATAGAATACCCCTTTGGTGTTCTGTCCATAGGAGACCACCTTGGACTTTTTTTCTATGGAGGACCGCCTTGGTCCTCTATTTATTTATATTTGGTTTTCTTTCCCATTGACCTTCCACCTAAAAAAGACTCCTTTGATCCTTTATTTATAAAATACAGGGTTGCCCATATTCGACGGACCCATCTGGCAACGCCATAACTTTTAACAGAGATGTCACATCGATTAATGACATACCGCGTTTGAAGTGTCAGTCCAAGCAGATTTTTACCATGAACCAACACACCATTAAGCGTTTATACGAAAAATTTTCGACTGGTAAAGCTCTTTCTAATCCGAAGAGGCCATATAAAAGTCGACCAAGGCGATCGGACGAGAATATCGCTGCCGTACGAGCCAGTGTTGAGAGGTCCCCAAGAACATCCCAAAAACGCCGTTCTCAACAGTTGGGCATGGCTCGGTCCACTTTAAAACGGATTATTCGCATTGATTTGCATTTCTTCCCGTACAAAATACAATTGACGCAAAGAATGTTGCCTGTGGACAAGCCTCGTCGATTGGAATGGGCCCATGGGTCCGTCGAATATGGACAACCCTGTACATCCCGATATTCGGTATTTTTATGATTTTTGCCCCACTTTTTCAAGGATTTGTCTGAAAATTGGTTCTTCTGTCCATAGAAGACCCCTTTGGACTTTTATCTATAGAAGACCGCCTTGGTTCTATATTTATAAAAGACCCCTTTGGTCTTCCATCTGGTCTTTCTTTCCAAATGATCTTCCACCTAAAGAAGACTCCTTCGACCTTCTATTTAGAAAACACACCAATGGGACCTTCTATCGAAAGAAGCCTCTTTGTTCATCTATCATTAGAAGACCCCTTTGGTCGTCTATCCCCTTTTGGTATCCTATTTATAGAAAATTCACTCGGACTTTAATATATAGAAGACCCCTTCTATCTATAAAAGATCCCCATGGTCACTTATGTATATATGGAAGACCCATTTAGGCTTCTAATCATGGAAGACACCTCAGATCTTCCTCATATATTAAATCTCTTCTATCCGTCTTTAAAAGATCCCCAGGGTCTCCATTATATAGAAGATCCAATGAGTCATCTAATAATGGAAGACCCCTTTATTTTCTAATAATGGAAGGCCCCTTTGGTATCCCCTATATAGTGGAGTCCTTTGGTCATCTATGTATCGAAGAACCCTTTTTTCTTCCCTACATAGCATTATTCATATGTCCCCCATAAATAAATGCAAGATCATTTTAATAGTCTATCCATAGAAGATTCATTTGATCTCCTAGCTTTATAATCCACATTTAATCTTCTCATACCCCTTTTCAATCGCCTTTTAATAAGAAAACCCTGAAAAATGTAGAAACTACTATTAATTTTCTTCCCCAAAATCCCAACCCAATTCCCCCAAAGACAAACTCATATAAAATTTCATTTTAAAATTGTAAAAATATATTTTGTTTTCATTTTTTTTTTCGTTTCTTATAAAATAAATTATTTTCTTGGAAAATAAGGTTTTTTTCTTAAATTATCACAGTTTTGTAAAGCTTCTTTTGTCGAATTTTTATAACAGTTTAAAGTTTTCTTAGCCATGGGAAGACATCTGTATAGGTAGGCGAATAAAGTTTTCAGTATTTAAGCTTGGGCCCAACGATCTTGCATATGAACAGGAACAAGGTCAGCGGCTGAGGTCCAAAAGAAGGTACCCTGTTCGGTGCGTACAAAGTGAACAGGTACTGTTGTGATGGGGTAATCAAATTCCTCCTCTTTTTCATAGGATTCATTGATGTCGTTTTCATAGGATTCCATTGAGTCGTAATCTGATGATGATTCAAGACTGGCATTGCGGCTATTTTCCAAGGATTCCATTGAGTCGGCAGCGACAGCTTTGTGGGATTTGAAGAATTTTTTAAACAGCTTCTTCATGCTGTTGGAGTTTTTCTTCTCGGAGATGGTGATTTCCATGTTGTATTGGTTTTGGGTGATTTCTACGCACATTTTGAATGTATGATTTTGAAAGTGAGTTCTTCACTGGAAGGTTAATCGAATGAGAATGATGCTGTACCCTGGGAGTGTTGGGCCTTTTATACTCTCAGCCAGGTTGCAAGGACATGCAGGTAGAAGAAAATCTACCAACTCCTAGACAATGGTGGTGGTTATCTATTTTTTTTTGTGGGGTCTGGTTTACCTTTCTGATCGTGGGAACGTCTAGTGAAAAATTTTTGGATACAACAATTCTGGAGATAAGGATTGTATTTTTTTGGTATTGTTGTTTTCAATATTTTGGTAGGTTGTACACGTGCAAAGGTTTTTCCAGGTAAAATGCATTTTCAATTCAATTTTGTAATTTCCCAGTTTCCCACGCTGGGATACTCGGTGTGGATAGATTTCGAATGCACGTGTTCGGTTGTGTGAAGGAGTTTAAGGAGCTAAAACTCATAACGAATGGCCATTAAGTTGGTAGCCTTATCGTTGTTGTTGTCCACTTTACTCGTGCTGTAAGCAGGGCGTTTAAGATTGCAAAGTCGAATATGTATTGGAAGCACTTGTAGTTGTACCTTGGAAAATCCTTTTTTTAAGTCTAAGAGGAACGTGAGCCGCGCGAGTTTGGTATTTGACGAGAGGCAATGTAGACAAAATACTGAGGAGGCATTTTAATTTTTAAAAATTGTACTTTTGGATATTTGAAGATGGGGTTCGGATATTTCCAATTTGTGCTCAGGAGGTGCTAAATCATAATTTAAACTGTTGATTCAATAAAAATCCGAAATTTATATTCTATTAGGTTTGAGCAATCATTTTGAAAAGCACAAATTCTGATCAATTACATATTCACATTAGATTGTTGATTAAGAGGAATATTTGGATATAAAAGCTGTATATAATCGCCGAACTGTTTCGCAAGTTATGACAGATATAAGTTTTGGAAATTGTGACCCTTTGTGGGTGAGGTACCAGAAGGGGTTGGCAGATATCTAGCATCTTCACAAGAGATCTTGCGTTAGCAAAAATGATTGATGTGTGAAATTTGAAGAGAACCGGATGCTTATTTCGGATTTTATGATCGTTTTGGTTATTCAAAACTTTGACCCTTTGTGGGGGAGGTACCAGAAGGAGTGGACCGACATATCCCATCTTCACATCAGACCTTGGGGTAATAAAAATATTGTGATTTGTGAAATATAAAGACAATCGGACTGTTATTTCACATTTTAGAAGAGTTATAATTATTCAAAATGTTAACCCTTTATGGGGGAGGTACTCGATGGAGTGGACCGATTTTGTCGATTTTCGCACCTGAACTAGCACAAAGATGTAGAAAAACGGAAAAAACTCTTTCTCTTTCTGTAGTAAATTATTTTCTTTGAAAATGTTGACATTCTGAGTGGGAGGTACCAGAAGGAGTGTACCGATATGACCCATCTCCGAACTCTATCTAAGTTTGACAATAATATTACGATGTTCCAAGTTTGGATGAAATCGGATACTCCCTTCGAGAGTTATCGTGCGCACCGCAGAGCAACATTCGGGCAGCGTTTGACGGTTTCATTGGCCGTTTGAAGGCCATAATTCGTGCCAAAAGTGACCAATTCGAACAAATCTAAACTTATTCTAAAATGTGATGCTATTTCCGACATTTTTTGCTTTCATTCAATAAAATTTAAGATAAAATGTAAAAATTATGGAGTTTGACTTTTTTGCAGTTGCATTCTCACCCTATAGATTGGGCGCCATAAGCGTGTCATCGGTTTTTATTGCTTCTAATTGAAGAGAGAAAGACAAAGTCCTTGTCTTTCCTAAGGCAAGGTTGAAGATCTTCTATAGACTTCAATTGATTTTTTTTTCAAGGAACAACACATTTGGCAGCAATCGTATACTCGGGAAATATTAATGTAATTGCTGTACATGTCTTATATTGAATGGGGTTCCAATGCTCGCACTTAGGGCACGAGTCTATTTTTTAACAACACAGTTGTATATTTTTTCTTCCCTACTAATGGAATGGCTTTCACTGAGGAAAGTTTTTTCATTAAAAAATACTTTCTCATCGAATCCTGTCATCCAATTATAACTTCTATCCATTATATCCTTGACTCGATCACAGTCATGCTGCGTGGGAATCATTTGAAAATGATTTTACTGTAAATGTATTTTATGTTCTATGGGGGAAACCTTTGCACATGCACAATTTTCAATAACAGAAAACAAATACAACAACATTATTGAAGATCCTTATCAGGATTAGTGATGCTCAAAAAAATTTTTGGTCACTAGACGTTCCCACGATCAGAAAGGTAAACCAGACCCCAAAAAAACAAAACAATAGATAAACACCAGCTATTGTCTAGGAGTTGGTAGGATTTCTTCTACCTGCATGTCCTTGCAACCTGGCTGAGAGTATAAAAGGTCCAACACTGAAAACGTACAGCATCATTCTCATTCGATAAACTTAACAGTGAAGAACTCACTTTCAAAAATCATACATTCAAAATGTGCGTAGAAATCACACAAAACCAATACAACATGGAAATCACCATCAACCAGAAGAAAAACTCCAACAGCATGAAGAAGCTGTTTAAAAAATTATTCAAATCCAACAAAACTACCGACTCAATAGAATCCTTGGAAAATAGCCGCAATGCCAGTCTGGAATCATCATCAGATTGCAGCTCAATGGAATCCTATGACAACGACATCAATGAATCCTATGAAAAGGAGGAGGAATTTGATTACCCCATCACAACAGTACCTGTTCACTTTGTACGCACCGAACAGGGTACCTTCTTTTGGACCTCAGCTGCTGACCTCGTTCCTGTTCATATGCAAGATCGTTGGGCCCAAGCTTAAATGCTGAAAACTTTATTCGCCTACCTATACAGATGTCTTCCAAATGCTAAGGAAATTTTAAACTGTTATAAGAATTCAACAAAAGAAGCTTTACAAAACTGTGATAATTTAAGAAAAAGATCGTATTTTCCAAGAAAATAATTTATTTTATAAGAAACAAAAAAAATGAAAACAAAATATAATTTTACATTTTTAAAATGAATTTTAAAGGAGTTTATCATTGGGGTATTTGGATGGGGTTTGGAAAACTATTATAGAATTTTCTATATTTTTTCAGGGGTTTCTTATAATCATAGGATTAAAAAGGGCAAAATTAAATCAAAAATGGATTACATAAATAGGAGATTAAAATCTAAAAACTTCTTGAATTAAAAAAAAAAACAGTAAGTTCTGCCGGCACGAACTTCGAATACCCTCCACCATTTAGAAAAAATTTGGAACTTTAAAAAATCCTTAAAAAATTCTGTTATAATTTTAAAAATACGAAATATAATGGCGTCTATACGATGTGGACCTACATAGGCATTGTTTGTCTTAAGCCATTACCATATTCAAATCCGAAACATGAAATAAACGGTGAATAACGCAGCTAAAATCATCAAAATTTCGTATATAGGGAGGTATCGTTATATCGTAGTTGTACGAAGTCCTGGACCAGCATAACAATTTTCAGTCATAGGCTGTAGTATCCATTACGAACTTCCAATACGATATCTCAAACAATTTCGGTGGGTATTGTACCTAAACTCGTCAAAATACCGAAAATAGGGAGGTACTGATATATGGGGCCTATACGAAGACCTAGACCTGCATTGACAATTTTCTATCACAGACTGTATCTTCCATTACGAACTCCTAATACGTAATTTGAAACAATTCCGTTGAATAATGACGCTAAAATCATCAAAATACCGAATATATGGAGGTACCGCTATATGGGGGCTATATGTAGACGTGGACCTGCACAGACAACTTTCTGTCTTAGGCTGTAGCATCCATTACGTACTTCAAATACGAAATTTGAAACAATTCCGGTTAAAAATTTCGCTAAAATCATCAAAATACCGAATATAGGGAGGTACCGTTATATGGGGGCTATACGAAGATTTGGGCGTGCGTATGAAATTTTTAGGCATAGGCTGTAGTACCCATTACATACTTCGAATACAAAATTTGAAACAATTCCGGTAAATAATGTCGTTAAAATCATCAAAGTACCGAATAAATGGAAGTGCCGTTATAAGGGGGCTATATGCAGACGTGGACCTGCATATGAAATTTTTAGGCATGGGCTGAAGTACCCTTTACGAACTTTGAATACGAAATTTGAAACATTTCGGGTGAATGATGTCGTTAAACTTATCAAAATACCGAATATCGGGATGTACCGTTATAGGAGGACTATACGAAAACGTGGACCGACATGGCCCATGTACGAACTCAAGCTGACTACTGAGAAAATACACATGTGTGCGACATTTTAGCCTTCTATCTCAATTCGTTCGAAAGATAACGTAATTAGAAGGACAGACAAATAGACAGAGGGATAGGCAGACAAGCGGACATCGCAAAATCTTCTTAAAATTTTACGCTGTTCCAAGATATTCATGCTTCGTAGGGTCTATCGCGAATATTTCGAGATGTCACAAACGTAATGACAAAGCTAATATACCCTCCATATAATGGTGGAGGGTATAAACATAAGCATCTGATTCTTTCTTAAATTCAAGCATTTTAATATTTCTACTAACCCAATATCTGTCGTGAAGATGGTAGATATCAGCAAACCTCCCTCACAAAAAGGTTCAAAACTTTGAATAAGCGGAACGCATATAAAATTCGAAATATGTATTCGATTCTCTTCAAATGTCACTCATACCATTATTTTGAATCACACAGCAGAACCCCTCCCACAAAGGGTCAACAGTTTGAATAATCATAGCGCAAGTCAGAATATATTTAAACAAACGGACATTGGCTGAGAGCATGGTACTATAAGGAGGTATAACAGCTTCGTAAAACTACAGAAATACAGCCCTGAGGCTGTACCCACACTCTGTCAGACTCATTCAAAATACAAAGGGGTTTTGATTTTTTTTTTTCATATTTTTCTTCATTTTTAAAATTAATTAAATGGCGAGGAAAATGAATGAAATGCCTGGATTTTCGCTCAAAAATATGATCCAAATCTTTCAATTTCATGGCTAAACTGATTAATAGCTTTAATGCGCGAGCCGCAATCTACGTGTCTTCCAATCATTGGTTTAGAAAATATTTTGATTTCATTTTTCAAAACAATATATACATACATAAAATTGGCAGAAGTCGGACACAATTAGAAAAAAAAAAAAAATGTAATCAGCTAGCAGCTCTACCATACCCTTGCACCATGTTTGAGAGTATATATCTGTCGGCAAAACCAATTAATTAATATTTTTTTATTTATTTTCTTCTATTTCGGACTATCGGACAAATAATAATTGATGTTTATTTATTTTTTGTTTATTTTTTATTATTTTTATTTATTTATTTTTTTTTTATTCTTTTTTTTTTTTTTTGATGCAAAATTCTTGAAATGCCGAATTAATTGTCTTGATATTTTAATTATTATTTATTTAATTATTTTCATGTTGGAATATTTCATGTGTTCCTCCTCAAACATTGAATTTCCCTACGCTACTGCCGCCACAGCTGATTCAATCTACTCCGAAGTTAGCTGCAGTTGGTTGCCTCTCTCGCACATTCGCACCACTCTCCTTGCCTAAAAAACATTCCACCAGCTGTCAAATAGACCAACAAAAGACGAAGAAGCAAAGGCATACACACACATTTTCCTCAACTCGCAAAGCAAATGAAAAACCTCAACTCTGTGAAAAATTGTGAAAATTTTTATTGGAAATTGTACAAATTGCAAAATTCGAGATACAAAAAATCAATGTGCTCCGCATTGAGCACTCGCGCGGTGTGGAAGTGAATGCAAAGAATAAAGTGAAACCCAATAAAATCCAATTGAAAATTACGCGTCATAGTCAAGAATCTGTTCTGTATATACCTACCTATCTATACACATCCGTTTGGTTAAATTTCTTCACAATCTGTTTTTTTTTTTTCTTGTGGAGAAGAATTGTTGATTGAATAGTTTTGGAAAAAAATGTTATAAAAATCAAAGATTAAAAAATGGCCACACAAAAACCCGGAGAATGGGCCAATTCGTTGCTGGCCCGTTTTGAAGATCAGGTAATTTGGTAATTTTGCAAATTCAAAGAAAAAAGTCTTCAGCCATCATCATCACCACCATCAACGCTTCTTGGATCCTCCCAAAAATTTCTTTTGGTTGTATAGCAGCAGCCAGCAGTTGAAGAACGCAAAAAAGTTGACAGCTCTCGTCGTCCCTCAAATCGATTGAGAAAAAAATACATTTTGTGCGAATGCGACGCAAGATGTGTGCAAGCGAGATGGGGCAACCAAATGTTTATTGTTTTGGGAAATTTTTTGTTTACGTTTGGCGGTGTGAAGGAATTTCATGAATGAAAAGTCCCAGAATTTATGAATGAAATTTCACGTGTGTTTTGGGAAATTTTGTGAGTGTTTTGCTATTTTTCGCTCGCGCTCTCTCTGCTCTCTCTTTGACGACGAACACACGATTTGTTTGTAAACAAACTGACGGTGCTCACACCAACACACAAACAGCTGTAACAGGTGAAAAGGGAATTTTTCGTTGTTGTTGTTTTTTTTGTTGTGGTAATGACAGCCAGCTGTTGCAAAAATAAAAAGAAACTGTTGATTGTTAGAGAAAAAATTAGAATGAATCCAGGAGGATATTAAATGGTGTATTTTATGACTCTAGACCACGGGTGTTTAGCAGAGGGAAGCAGACTTATATATGTTCCTGTGTAAAATGTGAATGAAAACTGTCCGACATAGGCATCGGTTTGCCGAAGTTTCCTTTAAGCTCGCCAAACTTCAGATTTCCACCAATGTTAAGAAAAACAAGTGAATAAGTATCAGTCGGTTTTGCGATTATTTAAATATATTTTGTTCTCTGTTATGATTATTCAAATGTTTGACCCTCTATGGAGGAGATTCCGAAGGAATGGGACATTATTGTCCATTTCGTATCGGACCTAAATAAATATGATATAAATATTGCGACGTGCCAGGTTTGGAGTATATGGACTAGTTCCTTGAACATATGCGAGAATTTTTAGAAAATGTAAAAATGTGCGTGCGGTACCAGATATAGTCGACCGAGGTATTCCATTTTCATACCTCATCTAAAACGAATAACAATATTGGTATGACCAAAATTACTAGAAAATCGAAAATTTTTATACAATTTTATGCGAAATCAAAAATTCCATATTCATCTCAGGTTTCTGGTTGAGAGAAATATTGAGATAAAGCAAGTTGTAAAGCATCGCTGAATGGTTTCGCACGTTGTGATTTTTAAAAGTATTGAAAATTGGACCCTTTGTGGGTGAGGTATCAGAAGGCACTCGCCGATATATATCATCTTCACAATAGATCTTGTTTTAGAGAGTTCGGTGCGTATTTTTAAAATAAGGAGTGGACTGATATATCCAATCTTCACTGCAGATCTTGTGTTAGAAGAAATAATGGGACGTGTGAAATATGAAAAGAACCGGATGACTTTTTCCCCCTATGTGGGGGAGGTACCAGAAGAAATGGTCCCATCGCTACCATCCTCACAACAGATCATGTGTTGTTGGAAATACCAAGTCTGAATGGAATCGGGTGTGGCATGGATATTCAAATTTTTGACCTTTGTGGAGATACCAGAAGGAGTGGACCGATATATCCCATCTTCATAGCAGATATTGTGCTAGTAGAAATAAGGGATGAGTGAAATATGGAGAGAATCGGATACTTATTTTAGATTGTATGATCGTTTTAGATTGTATGATGGAATTGAATGTTCTTCATGAATATTGAAATATTGTGGGAGGTACCAGAAGGAGTAGACCGAGATATTCCATCTTCACACCAGACCTTGGGTTAATAAAAATATTGAGATGTGTGTAATTTTAAGACAACCGGATTTTTACATTACATTTTATAAGAGTTAAAATTATTCAAAATTTTGAACCTTTGTGGGAGAGGTACTTGGTGGAGTGGACCGATATTTTCCATTTTCGCACCCGACACTGATGGTAATATTAGGATTTGCAAAATTGGATTATTATTTCCCTTTCTGTGCAGTATTTTTTTTTTTTTTTGTTGTGAAAATTTCAGACTTTTTGGGGAAGGTACCAGAAGGAGTGGACCGATATTGCCCACCTTCGAACTCGTTCTAAGTATGATAATAATATTACGATGTACTAAGTTTGGACCAAATCGAATACTTCCTTCGAGAGTTATCGTGCGAATCAGCCCGCAGACAGACGGACGGACGGACATCGCTAGATCGATTCCAAATGTCCTTAATTTAGTCCAAAGTGACCTGAGGTCTAAAATCGTTATGTCGATGAGACACGTTTTGGCCTCTTGCCATATGACGGAGGGTATAAAAGTCAGAGAAGCTATCATTCTGCTGGCCCAACCCTGGCTATTTCGGTGGCTTTATGCTATTTTTGCCGTGTCGAAGAAACCGCATACCGCAATCTTTGTCATAATTACACAAATATCAGAAACTCATTCAATGAAATTTATAAATTGAAATATATAATTATAGCCATGTGGATTCGAAAAGAACTAAGACAATTGTCGATTCTGTGGTCACATAAGAAAGGGACTAAAAAGGAAGATGATTCAGAAAAACTATTGAAGAATCGAAAGCACTCGCCTCTGTCGATTCTAAAAGAAAATGCGGTAATAGCTTCTGAAATCTAAAAGTCTAAGAATAAATCCCAGCAAATCCAAAGATTCTCTAATCTTGCAGATAGTCCTTGGGGAAAAAATCCACCAAAGACTCCTGCTATTCATAAATTTACGTTAACAGCTCCAATAATTTCCATTCCCATATATCTTTTCAGCTTCCCAACAAAACAAATGGTCCACATGGCACCCAGGCTCGCATGAGCCAGGATCAATTGGTGAATTGTTTGATTCACATATCGCGGTATCGCTTCTCTTTGGTGATATCGGGTCTAACGAAAATATTACAACGAGTTAATGAAGCGGTAAGTATCAACACTTCCCCTCTCCGGATATTTTTTTTAATGTTTTATCAACTATTTTCCCACAGGCCATACAAAATCGCCACGAGACCGATCGTTATTATTTCGAATCTCTTGTTATCATCCTAACCACGCTGGAAAGATGTCTAACCAATCAGACAAAGGACACAGCACGCTTCGAAGAGGCTATGAATGTTAAGTTGCTCCTTCGTGAAATCACCCAATTTATCGATGTCCAGAGTGATAGTAACCCGAATGCCGCCCAATTGAAAATTCTGGCATCCAAAGTTTTGTTTGCCCTCTCGCAGAATCATTTCTCGGCCGTTTTCAATCGCATTTCGGCTCGTATCCAAGAATTGGCGGCATGCTCGGATGAGAATCCCGATTATTCTGATATTGAGTTGATACAACACATCGACATGGATATGACGAAATTGACGAAACTGCTGCAGGAGACAATAACGAAATTTCGTTCGAAACGGGCACCGCCTTTGATACTTTTAAATTCCATTGAGAAGGCCATATGGAATTGGATTGAATATCATCCGCAGGAGTTTCAGGATTTGCAGAGGGGCATGAATCGGGATATATCAACGTAAGTGAAATTTATAGCATGATTTCGGAGAGTATTAATTATTTAATTCCATTCCCGCTTTAGATGCTGGGAGCCGTTACTGGATTTCGTGGAGGCCTATAAGGCCGAGAACAAAAAAAGCAAGACCACAGTCTGGCCTTTGCAAATGCTACTGCTAATTTTAAATCCGGTAAGTTTTTCCTTTAAAAAACACATTACACCCTTTTAATATCCTCCCCCTCTTGTTTTTAGGCCTGCCTGGAAGCCACCGTCAATGAGCTGCAGCAATGTGAAAAGGAAAAGGACAAAATGGCCTCCAAGACGCAGTCGCGAGACAAAGATTTCTCGGCCAAGCAATTTATTGAGAGTATCAAACGTGGCCTGGGTCCCCACTCCCCCTCGAAACTGGTCACCGAATCAGCGGCCATAGCCTGTGTAAAACTATGCAAAGCTGCCACCTATGTGAATATCAACGATTCGAACAACGTCATCTTTAAATTGGTGCAATACATCATCAACGACATCAAGGCTTTGTTGTTCAATCCCGTCAAGCCCTTTTCCAGGGGTCAGGGTTACAATTTTGCCGATATTGAACTAATGATTGATTGTTGGGTTTCCTGTTTTCGCATTAATCCCCATAACATAGAGGCTTTGAAGGTGTGCCTGAATCTTAATTCGCCGCAGGCCTATCATTTTGTTATTGTTTGTTCGTTACTGAGGTAAGGGATTCTGATCCTAAATCCTTAATTTGTTCGCTAAAACCATTCCAATTCCAGGCTGGCCCATATCTATGTTGACTTTAGATTACAAAACAAAAATCCTTTCCGGGTGGTAAATCAACCACGTCTGCCCTGGTGGCCTCAAACGGATGTGGTACACTATCGTTCGGCCGAGATGAGAGCTCTCTTCACCGACACCCTTAACAAGGCCACCCAGGGTTATATAGCCCACACCCCACTGAGAATGATTACCTCTTTGACATTGAAAACCAAAGATACGCAAAAAGTTTTGGCCCGTTCCGAGGAGGGGCCAGCCCATAAAATGTTATTGTTGTTGTTAGTACGTTTAATACATGCCGATCCCACCTTATTGTTAAATGTAAGTTCAGCACCCAAAATCCGATCCGAATTTAATATAAATTCCATTCTTTTATTTTTCAGACCCAGGGCAAAGTAGCACACGAAGTACAAAGTTCAACTCTCGAACTCATCAATGGTCTTGTTAGTTTGGTTCATCAACCGTCCATGCCAGATGTGGCCCAGGAGGCCATGGAAGCCCTGCTGGCTTTACATGCACCCGAAAAAATCGAAGTTTGGAATCCAGAGGCACCCATTAATACGTTTTGGGACGTCAGCTCCCAGGTCTTGTTTTCCATTTCACAAAAGTTAATCCAACATCAAATAGCCAATTATACCGATGTCCTGAAATGGTTGCGTGAAATATTGATATGTCGTAATACCTTCTTGCAAAGGCACAAGGATTATGCCCATGTCGGAAGTCAGATAGCCATCTGTAAACAGGCCCACATCAAATTGGAGGTGGTATTTTTTATGTATCTCTGGTCAGTGGATTTGGATGCGGTGCTAACATCGTTGTCCTGTTTCGGTTTGTTGTGTGAAGAGGCTGAAATATGTTGCGGCTCGGATGAATTGACGGTGTCAATGCTTGTGCCGAATTATATGATCTATCAGGAATTGGCTCAGCTGTCATCGGGTAAGAATGGAGGATTTTTTTTGGAAGAATGTGGTAAATAGCATGCCCTGAGGTCCTCTATGGCCTGTAGAAGACCTGGAGGTCTTCTATCGTCTATAAAAGACCTGGAGGTCCTCTATTGTCCATAGGAGACCTTCACCTTCTATTGTCCATAGGAGACCTTGAGGTCTTCTATTGTCTATAGTAGATCTTGAAGTCCTCTATTGTATATAAGACCTGGAAGTCTTCTATTGTCTATAGAAGACTTGGAGGTCTTCTATTATCCATAGGAGACCTTGAGGTCTTCTATTATCCATAAGAGACCTTGAGGTCTTCGGCTGTCCATAGGAGACCTTGAGGTCTTCTATTGTCCATAAGAGACCTTGAGGTCTTCTATTGTCGATAGGAGACCTTTAGGTCTTTTATTATAGATAAGAAAACTTGAGGTCTTCCCTGGTCTGTAAAATACCTTGGGGCTTATAGATGGTTTTGAGGTCTTCAATGGCGTATATATGACTTTGAGGTTTTCTATGACTTATAGATGTATTCCGTGGTCTTTTGAAGAACTTGAGGCTTATACATGACTTTAAGGTCTTCAATGGTTTATATATGACCTTGAGGTGTTACCTGGCCTATAGAAAGCCTTGAGGCCTCCCAATGGCCCATAAAAAACCCTGGGGCCTTCCAAGGCCTATTGGCTGAGGTCTTTTTTTGACGTTATGAGAAATTAAGGAGACCTTCTGTAACTATTTTTTTTCTCTGGAAAACATTGATGTCTTCCATTTTCCATTGGGGACCCTGAGATCTCTCCAGGAACATGCCAAGTTTTATATGTAATTTATTCTCCTTCCTTTTAGCTGCCACGGATTCTCGCATATGCTTCTACGATAATAGTCATGGCAACGTTCTTAATCGGCTACACCTTCAGAAGCGCATTATGCAGCTCCTACGGAAGATTGAGCACTGTGTTCATGGTGTACAGCCTGCCTGGGAGGAGACTTTTAGGTACCTTTTACCACACTATATAATATCTCTTATTAATTTCGCTTCTCTCCATCTGTTCCCCCTTCCAGGAACTGGGAAATCATGAGTAAAATGCTGCAAACCTACCCCAAGTGTAAAACCGAAGACGGCCAAGCTGAGCTGTTCCATCGTGGCGTGGGAAAACGCCGAGCCAGCCATCAAAGCTCGGAACATGATATTGAAGAGCAAATAACAGAATGGGCCAACATGACATGGTTCCTGCTGGCCTTGGGTGGTGTTTGTCTAATCAAACGTCGTCAACAAGCTGTGGCCGCCCAGGCTTCACAGTTATCCCTAGCCCATCAGGCTCCTTTTCATCCATATTCTCAGAGTTTTGGCTCACTGCAACAGAATCTGCCACCTCAGGTCCACATACATCAGGGTTCAATAAGTTCATTGGCACAAAATTCCCTGCATTCACTCTCTAGTTCATCCAGTTCGGGTAGAGGTTCGTTGAATCCAAATTCAATTTCCTTGGCTGGAGTGCCGCAGGGGCCACAACAGGAGGTGCAATATTGTCCGGTGACACAGTAAGTTGGAAAAAAACTCCATTTTCTTTATTCCGTATGTTACCTTGGAAAATTCTCCCTTTCAGATTCATTGGCCAACTCTTGAGGCTATTGGTTTGCAGCAATGAAAAAATCGGTTTGAACATCCAAAAGAATGTCAAGGAGCTGGTGGGTGAAGAAATGTCCACCTACCTTTATCCCATCCTCTTTGATCAGATACGTTCAATTGTTGAGAAATTTTTCGATCAACATGGCCAGGTCAATGTGACCGATATCAATACCCAATTCATCGAACACATTATCTATATCATGAAATCGATTTTGGATCCCAAACCGAGTAAAGATCCCAACAATGACCAACCATCGACGGCAGAAAATTTGGGTGTAACCAGCATTGAAGGTATGATGTTGGGTATTGTACGCTATGTACGCCACTTGGATATGACGGTCTATGCAATACGGATAAAAACTAAACTCTGCCAATTGGTGGAGGTAATGATGAAACGGCGGGATGATTTGGCATTTAGACAGGAAATGAAATTTCGTAATAAATTGGTGGAATACCTGTCGGATTGGGTTATGGGCACCTCACATCAAATTGCACCGCCCAGTTCAACGGATCCCTCAATGATCACCAAGTAAGGGGATACCATTTTCCAGCAATAAAAGAGATAATAAATTCTTTATTTTATTTTCAAGTACCTCTTTGATATTCCGTGACTTGGATCAGGCCTGCATGGAGGCAGTGGCTGCCTTGCTAAGAGGTCTACCCCTACAACCCGAAGAATCTGATCGTGGCGACTTGATGGATGCCAAGAGTGCGCTGTTTCTCAAGTAATTTATCTTGGCAGAGTAACTTTTCCCATAGAGCTGACCATGATTCCCCTCTTTTCCCTGCAGATACTTTACCTTATTTATGAATCTCTTGAACGATTGCATCGACAGTTCCGAGGCTGAAAAGGAACTCAACAATCCCCCACTGCTACCACCTCGCCCCCGTTTAGCTGCTGGCAAGCTAACGGCTTTACGCAATGCCACCATACAGGCCATGTCGAATTTGTTGGGCGCCAATATCGATTCGGGGCTCATGCACTCCATTGATCTGGGCTATAATCCTGATTTACAAACTCGAGCCGCTTTCATGGAGGTCCTAACACAAATCTTACAACAAGGTACCGAATTTGATACGCTGGCTGAAACAGTGTTGGCAGATCGTTTTGAACAGTTGGTTCAGCTCGTTACCATGATCAGTGATAAGGGTGAGCTACCCATTGCCATGGCCTTGGCAAATGTGGTGACCACATCGCAAATGGATGAATTGGCTAGGGTGCTGGTAACCTTATTCGATGCCAAGCATTTATTATCACCTCTCTTGTGGAATATGTTCTATCGTGAAGTGGAGGTGTCGGATTGTATGCAGACCCTGTTTCGTGGCAATTCACTGGGCAGCAAAATAATGGCATTTTGTTTTAAAATTTACGGCTCAGCATATTTGCAGTTGTTGTTGGAGCCGTTGATAAGGCCTCTGCTGGATAATCCAAATACATCGTTTGAAGTGGATCCGGCTAGGTAAGGGCAATCTGTGATATTTCACAACAGCATTTAAGCCTGAAAGGCATTTCAAAATAACTTCCTCTAAAAATCAAGTGAGAGACAACCGAGTAACTCTTTAATTTTATTCCAGACTCGATCCTGGCGATGACTTAGATGTAAATCGCCGTAATTTGATAGCCTTGACGAAAAAGGTCTTTGATGCCATCACAAATTCAGCCGATCGTTTCCCACCCCAGCTGAGATCTATGTGCCATTGCCTTTATCAGGTGCTCAGTAAAAGGTTTCCGAATTTATTGCAGAACAATATTGGAGCTGTGGGTACCGTAATCTTCCTGCGCTTCATAAATCCAGCTATTGGTAAGCAAAAAACGACAACAATTTTAAATAAGTTAAGACGGAAATTCACGTTTGAGGTCTTCTATTGTCTATAGTAGACCCTGAGGTCTTCTGTGGTCTATAGGCCTTGAGGTTTTCTATTGCCTTTAGGAGACCTTGAAGTCTATAGATAGCGTTGAAATGTTGCCTATAGGAGTCCCTGGGGTATTCCACTGTCTATAGGAGACCCTGAGGTCTTCTATTGTCTATAGAAGGCCTTAAGGTGGTCTATTGTCTACAGGAGACCTTAAGGTCTTCTATTGTCTATAGGAGACTATGAGGACTTCTATTGTCCACAAGAGGCCCTGAAGTCTTCTATTGTCCATAGAAGACCTTGCGGTGTTCTATTGTCTTTAAGAGACCCTGTGGACTTCTATAGTCCATAGGAGACTCAGAGGTCTTTTGTTGGTTATAGGAGACTGAGGTTTTCTTGTGGTCTTCTATTGTCAATAGGAGACCTTCAGGTCTGTAGAAGAACCTGAGGTCTCCTATTGTCTATAGGATACCCTGAGGTCAGTAGAAGAACCTGAGGTCTTCTATAGTCTATAGGAGACCCAGAGATCTTCTATTGTCTATAGGAGACCCTGAGGTTTTCTGTTGTCTGTAGGAGACCCTGAGGTCTTCTATTGGAGGCCTTGAATTCTTATATTGTCTATAGGAGGCCATGAGGTCTTATATTGTCTATAGAAGACCCTGAAGACGTACATTTTCTATAGGGAACTCTGAGGTCTTCTATTGCCTATAGGATACCTTGAGGTCTTCCGAAGTTTAAAGAAGACCTTGACCTTGAGAAGACTTTTAGATCTTCCATGCTCTGCAGAAGACATTGAGGTCTTCCATAGCCTATAGAAGACATTTAGGTCTTCTATAGAAGACCGTAAAGTCTTACATGGCCTATAGAAGTTCTTGATGTCCTCTATAGTTTAAAAAAGACCTTGAGGTCTTCCATGGTCTATAGAAGACCTTGAGGTTGTCCATAGTCTATAGAAGAATTTGAGGTCTTTCATGGCTCATAGAAGACATTGAGGTCTTTCAAGGCCCATAGAAGACATTGAGATTTTCCATGGTCCGTAGAAGACGATGAGGTGTTCTGTTGTCTATAGGACTTCTGGAGTTTTTCAATAGTCTATAGAAGACTTAAAGGTCTTCCAGGACCTATAAAAAACATTGACGTCTGTCATGGCCTATAGAAATTTGAAATCTTCCATGGTTCATAGAAGACATTGAGATCTTCCATGGTTCATAGAAGACATTGAGGTCTTCCATGGCTCATTGAAGACATTGAGGTCTTCTATAGTCTATCAAAAATTAAGCGATTCCATGGTCTATAGAAGTCCTTCAGGTATTCCATTGTCTACAGAAAACCTTAAGGTCGTCCATGGTCTATAGAACTCCTTGAGGTTTTCCATGGTCTATAGAAGACTTTGAGGCCTATAGAACACCTTGAGTTATTCCATGGCCTATAGTAAACTCTGAGGTCTTTCATGGCCTATAGTAGACCATGATGTCTTTTATGACATATAGAAGATCTTGGGATCTTCCGTGTCTAAAGAACACCTGGAGGTATTCCTAGGCCTATAGAAGACCATCAGGTTTTCCTCTAGGTATTTAACACTTAATTTTTAACACTTAATTTTTATTTATTTTCCCCCTTCAGTTTCCCCCCAAGAACTGGGAATTGTTGGCAAACAGGTGCCGAGCACCGTGAAACGTGGTCTCATGTTGATGTCGAAAATCCTGCAAAATATTGCCAATCACGTTGAATTCTCCAAGGAACAGCATATGTTGTGTTTCAATGATTTTCTGCGGGAACATTTTGAGGCTGGGCGGCGATTCTTCATACAAATTGCCTCCGATTGTGAGACTGTGGATCAAACCTCGCATAGCATGAGCTTCATATCGGATGCCAATGTTTTGGCTTTGCATCGTTTGTTGTGGACACATCAGGAGAAAATCGGGGATTATTTGTCGAGTAGTCGGGATCACAAGGCAGTGGGAAGGAGACCTTTTGATAAAATGGCAACGTTACTGGCGTATTTGGGACCACCCGAGCACAAGCCGGTCGATTCACAGTGAGTCGGGGAATATGCTTTGAGGTATCCTTTTTAATTGTTTTGGATTTTTCATTCTAGCATGATGTTCTCCTCCTATCCCCGTTGGAGCTCCATTGACATGTCGTCGACAAATTTCGAAGAAATCATGGTAAAACACCAAATGCATGAAAAGGAGGAATTCAAGGCCTTAAAGGCCATGAATATTTTCTATCAGGCGGGTACCAGTAAACTGGGTTATCCGGTGTTCTACTACATAGCCAGGAGATATAAGTACGTAGAACTTATACCTCATCCTTCAATTCAAAATGAGAATCATTAATTTTTCCTTATTCCAGAATTGGTGAAACAAATGGCGATCTTTTGATTTATCATGTCATCTTGACGTTGAAGCCTTTTTGCCATTCCACCTTCGAGGTGGTCATCGATTTCACCCATGTCAACTCGGATAATAGGTTCCGTACAGAGTTCCTGCAAAAATGGTTCTATGTATTGCCCGCGGTGGCCTATGAAAATGTCCATGCGGTCTATATTTACAATTGCAACTCTTGGGTAAGGGAATACACCAAATTCCATGACCGGATATTGGCACCCTTGAAGGTAAGTGGACCCGCATTCTTTGGTTTTAAGTCCTTATTAAATTTTCCCTAATTTCCAGGGCAATCGGAAATTAATGTTCTTGGACTTGCCCAACAAACTGAATGATTACATCGATCCGGATCAACAAAAGCTACCGGGTGCCACATTGTCTTTGGATGAAGATCTCAAGGTGTTCAGCAATGCCTTGAAATTGAGCCACAAGGATACCAAGGTGGCCATTAAAGTTGGTCCCACAGCATTGCAAATAACCTCGGCGGAAAAAACCAAAGTCTTGGCCCACTCTGTGCTACTGAATGATGTCTATTATGCCTCGGAAATCGAAGAAGTTTGCCTGGTCGATGACAACCAATTCACCCTGTCCATTGCCAACGAGAGCGGTCAATTAAGTTTCATACACAACGATTGTGACAACATTGTCCAGGCCATTATACACATACGCAACCGCTGGGAGCTGAGTCAACCGGATTCGGTGACGGTGCACCAGAAGATCAGACCCAAGGATGTACCGGGAACCCTGCTAAATATGGCCCTACTTAATTTGGGTTCAGCCGATCCGAATTTACGTACAGCGGCCTATAACTTGCTGTGCGCCCTGACGGGAACATTTGATTTGAAAATTGAGGGTCAACTCCTGGAGACACAGGGTCTCTGCATTCCCTCCAACAACACCATTTTCATAAAATCGGTCAGCGAAAAACTGGCCACCAATGAACCGCATCTGACTTTGGAGTTTCTCGAGGAATGTATCCAGGGCTTCCAGCGCAGTACCATCGAATTGAAGCATTTATGTTTGGAATACATGACTCCATGGCTAAAGAATTTGGTGAAGTTTTGTAAATCCAACGATGATGCCAAGAAGGTGAAGGTCTCTCAAATTCTGGATAAACTTATCTGTCTGACCATCGAACAAAAGGAAATGTATCCCTCGGTGCAGGCGAAAATATGGGGCTCCATTGGCCAAATCCCGGAACTCATTGACATGGTGCTGGACAACTTCCTCTACAAATCGGTTTTCTATGGCCTGGGATCGCCCCAGGTGGAGATTATGGCGGACACAGCAGTGGCCTTGGCCTCGGCCAATGTCCAGCTGGTTTCGAAGAAGGTCATTACCCGCATGTGCCGTGTCATGGACAAGACCTGTACCAGCCCTCTGCCCTGTCTGGAAAATCACCAGACCTGGGATGACATTGCCATATTGGGACGCTACTTACTTATGTTGTCGTTCAACAATTGTCTCGATGTGGCCACCCATTTACCCTATCTTTTCCACACCATCACCCTACTAGTCTGCTCGGGATCGCTCTCGATGAGGGCCTCCACCCATGGTTTAGTTATAAATATTATACATTCATTGTGTACCTGTACCAAGCCGATTTTCTCCGAAGAGGCCCAGCGTGTCTTGCGTCTGTCCTTGGATGAATTCTCGCTGCCTAAGTTCTATTTACTCTTTGGCATTAGCAAGGTGAAATCGGCAGCTGTCACTGCATTCCGTTCGAGTTGTCGCCATCCACCGGACAAGTGGTTGGGCAATGAACGGGTTTCGCAAAATTTGCCACCCGATAGAGAGCGGCTTTCGCTACCGTCCCTGGAAGTAATTACCGATGCATTGCTGGAAATAATGGAGTCATGTATGAGGGACATTCCCGATTGCCAATGGCTGCAGACATGGACGGCCTTGGCAAGGAATTTTGCTTTCGCCTTTAATCCAGCCTTACAGCCAAGGGCGTTGATTGTATTTGGGTGTATCAGTAAAAGTGTAACCGATCAAGAGGTGAAGGAGTTGCTAAAGGAACTAGTCAAGGCTGTGGAGGCTTTTACCGATATAACCCTGATTGAGGCCATTGTTATGTGTCTGACACGTATCCAACCTCTTTTGAGGCCGGTAAGTAATGGAATTTAGAAAATTGACCTCACAATTATTCCCATTTCTTTTTAGGACTCTCCCATACATCGCAATCTCTTTTGGGTGGCCATTTCTGTTCTGCAACTGGATGAGGCAAATCTGTATGGTGCCGGTCTGGCTTTATTGGAACAAAATCTGCACACCCTCAAGTCTCAGGGCTGTTTTGATAATGCCCATTTGGCAGAGGTAATGATGGGTACCCGGGAAAAACTGGAATATCATTTCAAGCAGCTGGATCATGCTGTGGGTCTGTCGTTCCGTAGTAATTTCCATTTTGCTTTGGTGGGACATTTGATCAAGGTGGGCAACCTCCCAACACCATCTGATATTAAATGATTTCAATTGTATTTCTTTGTTACTCTAGGGTTTCCGTCATCCCACCCCCACCACCGTGTCACGCACCTCTCGCATTTTGACCATTCTTTTGGGCATAATTGCAAAACCCTGTAGACGTGATAAATTCGAGGTGACACCCGATAGTGTGGCATATCTAACTGCCTTGGTGGCCGTTTCGGAAGAGGTCCGTTCCAGATGTCATGTCAAACATGCTCTACCCCGTTGGCCAGCCGAGATGCCCACAGAAAATGGCAGTGGTGGTGGAGCCACTGATCAGGCAGCCACCACAAATGGCACACAGAATGTAAGAAAAAAAACCTAGATCTAACTGAAATTGGGAACTAATTACTATCCGCACCCATATGGTGGAATTTTCGGCTTATTTTTCCAGCAGGGCAGCATGGCATTGTCGCGACGCCAGAAGTCCTGGGACATACTCGATCAATCGGCATTGAATTTGGCCCGTCATCATAAAGTACCTGCACCACCGGTAGGTTTCAACAATGGGGTTATATGTTATGGACCTCTATATATATATATATATACATATACTATATATCCGATATATTTAACTATTACATATATCCTATTTTAGCTTCTTTGAAGTTGATATTTTATCGTGATATACTTTTGAATGTTTCGTTCTTTTGATAAACATAACTCCAGTAAGATTTGAGTGCGATTTGTGACATGTGAGATTATGAAGAAGATAGATTCGAGAATCCGTTTGATAATTAACTCTAAGCTAGAAAAGCACCTGAGAGTCTTGTGGGGTATTGATATGGTTTTCAGAACATTTCCAAATCTGTAAAAATTTTTTTGCCCAATGCTGTTGTGGATGGGGCCAAAACTTGGATATATTTTTCCTTATGTAAAATCTACAATGGTTGGTTCAAGAGCCTAGCAAGGATTGTTGTCGCAGTTGGTACGGCTGTTTTTCTCTGTCCTAATTTTAATTCAAATTCAAGTTCAAATTCTATACCAAGACTTTCTTTCCTACGCCACGACTTTCTGGTCTTCTATACGAAGACCTTCTGGTCATCTATACCAAGACCTTTTGGTCTTTTATATGTATTTCTCCATGGGGAATAATGCATAGGTTGAGTAGGTTTGGCTAGGTCTTTAAACAGGATTAAAAGTTCTGTGTTACGCCAATAACTACAGTCCAATACGGCTGAGTCATCTTGGAGCCATCGAAAATTCAATCGATTGTTTTTTCGATATCAAGGAGAGAAAATTTGTCCCCTTATATAAGTTGTACCCAAACAAGCCTAATTTTTCGAGCCTACTGTCATTCTGCCACAATGGACGACGGTGATCTCCTACGTTCATATTCTCTTAGTATTCTTAAATTGTCTGCCAGTTAGACATATTCATCAGAATGTGTATTTTTTACACCCTCCACCATTCTATGAAGGATATATTAGCTTTGTCATTCCGCGTAAAATTCTGAAACGACTTAGCGTGTCCGTCTGTCTGTCTATTCTTTCAAACGAATTGAGATAGAAGGCTAAAATTGGGCACACATGTGTATTTTGCCAGTAGGCAGTTCGTAAATAGTTTATTTCCTTCCACGTTTTCGTATAGCTCCCATACAGCGATACTTCCCTTTATTCGGTATTTTGATGATTTTAGAGATATTATTCGTCGGAATTGTTTAAAATTTCGTATTTGAAGATCGTAATGGATAGTACAGTCTATGACAAGGTCCGAGACTTCGTATAGCCCCGGTATAGCGGATTTTCTTTACACGGTATTTTTCGGAATTTGTTGAAAATTTTCGAATTATTTTCAAATGCTTGAGGGATTTTTTTCTTGTTTGTATCTACCTTTTTCCCTGAGGAGGTACTTACCTTCTAAAGGCGAAGAGTGTCTGTCCATAAAATGGGCGTTTAAGGACTAATATTTCATGGGAATCTTTTTGGGTTGATCCAAATATCGGACCTTTGAATCTCCAATTGAGTGGTTTATTGGCTCTATAGGGAGCCACTTCTCTGGCCGACGATTTGGTAGATTTGCATTCTTCTTCATTTTCTTTTTGATACCTTTGAGAGAACCCTATTGGCAATCCATTGGTTAACACAAATTGGTTTAACGCTATAAAATAGGACGACTATTTCGAAACTTATATAGATAAAATGTAACCCATAGAACCACATTTTATCCTCATTATCGAGAGAGCTAATATATCTACTTTGTATCTGCTTTGTTCACACATTTTTAAACCCTCAGCCAGGGGCTTAATATCATTACATACGGCCAAAACGTGCCTCATCGAAATAACGGTTTTAGACCCTAGGTCACTTTAGACAAAATCTGTTTCAGGACATTTGGTGTCGATCTAGTGAAGTCCTTCCGTCTGTCTGGCTGCCTGGCTGGTGCGCACGATAACTCTCGAAGGGAGTATCTGATTTGATCCAAACTAGGCACATCGTAATATTATTGTCAAACTTAGATCGAGTTCGGAAAGGGACAATACCGGTCCACTCCATCAATTACTCTTATAAAATGTGATGAAAGTGTCCGATTGTCGTCAAATTACACACATCACAATATTTTTATTATGCCAAGGTCTGGTGTGAAGATGGGATATATCGGTCCTTTCCTTCCGGTACTTCCCCCACAAAGGGTAAAATTTATGAATATTCGCGAGGCTCATAAAACGTGAAATTAACATCCGATTCCATTTAGACTTGGCACATCTGAATTTCTATCAACACAGGATCTTTTATAAATATGGTAGAGATCGGACCACTCCTACTGGTACCTCCACCACAAAGGGTCAAAGTTTCGAATAACCAATGCAATAATAAAATTCGGTTCTCTTCATATTGCAGACATCCCATTATTTCTATTAACTGAAGATCTGCAGTGAAGATGGGATATATCGGACAACCCCTTCTGGTACCTCGCCCGTAAAGGGTCGACATTTTGAATATCCATGAAGCTCATATAATACGAAATTAACATCCGATTCCAAAAGCCATAATTTTTACATTTTTATACCCTCCACCTTGGAAAGGAGGGTATATTAACTTTGTCATTCCGTTTGTAACATCCTTAAATATTCGTCGTAGACCCCATAAAGTATATATATTCATAATCAGCATAAAATTTTAAGTCGATTTAACGATGTCCGTCTGTCTGTCTGTCTGTCTGTCTGTCTGTCTGTCCGTCTGTCTGTTGAAATCACGATACAGCCCACATTATTTGACGTAGAGCGCCAAAATTTAGCAGAGCAATTGGTATTGTGTCTAGGATGGTTGGTATTGAAAATGAGATATATCGGTCCACGTTCTGGTATAGCCCCCATATAACGGTACCTTCCGATATTCGGTATTTTGATGATTTATGCCACATTATTTAACGGATTTGTCTGAAAATTGGTATTAGTAGGTCATAACGGTTCCCTGTATGTGTGGCAAAACATAGCATGTATAGGTCCACGTTTTGGTATAGCCTTCATATAATGGTACCTCCCGATATTCGATATTTTGATTATTTTTGCCACAGTTTTTAACGGATTTGTCTAAAAATTGGTATTTGTTGGTCATAATGAGTTCCAGCTCCGGTGGCGAAACATTGCATGTATGGGTCCATGATTTGGTATAGCCCCCATATAACGGTACCTCCCGATATTCGGTAATTTGATGACTTTTGCCCCTTTTTTCACGTATTTGTCTGAAAATTGGTATTTGTAGGTCATAATGGGTTCTAGCTCCGTTGACGGAACCTTGCATGTGTAGGTCCACGATTTGGTAGAGCCCCCATATAACGGTACCTCCCGATATTCGGCATTTTAATGGTTTTTGCCACATTCTTCTAATGTTTTCTTTACCCTAAGGTGGAGGGTATTAAAAGTTTGGCCCGGCCGAACTTAATGTTTTTTTACTTGTTTTTTTTTTTAATTTTTTGAATGAAAGCAAAAAATGTCGGAAATAGGATCAAATTTTAGAATAAGTAAAGATTTGTTCGAATTGATCACCTTTGGCACGAATTATAGCCTTCAAACGGCCAATGAAACTGTCGCACGCTGTCCGAATATTGCTCTGCGGTATTTCGGCCCATTCCCGGCGAAGGGCTTGCTTGAGGTGATCGACATTTTGGTATTTTTTAGTGCCAACCTAGCTTTCCAAAGTACTCCAGACACAATAGTCTAACGGATTGGTATCCGAAGATTTTAGTGGCGATTGTGCGCAGGAAATGAAGCGAAGAACCTCATTTTGTAACCATTCTTGGGTGGCGCATGCTAAGTCCTGTTGGAATGTCTGCGGCCAAATTGTTGGCGTGCCCAAGGCTTTAATACACCCTCCAGAATATTTTCGCGATAATATTCGGCATTTATTCTGAGGAACCTCATTTTGTAACCATTCTTGGGTAGCGCATGCTGAGTCCTGTTGGAATGTCCAAGGTCTGCGGCCAAAATGTTTGCGTGCCCAAGGCTTTAATACGCCCTCCAGAATATTTTCACCATAATATTCGGCATTTATTCTGATTAATACGAGTGGAGAGTGACCATCAGCTTTTATGGCGGTCCACACCATCACCATGGCCGGCGCTTGAGTTCTGGTGGCCAACTGAAGGTGCACATTTTCAGCTGACCTTTTTGGCAACTGAACATGATCCTTTTGTTTGTTTACAAACTGCTGGACAACGAATTCGGCAGTTCATCACTTTTGGCCAAGCGAAGCAATTCTTTAGCTCTTTTCAGTCTATTTTCTTTCAGTTGCGGTACAAGTTCTTGCACTTTTTTGAAATTTCAATGGCTTTACCCCGAGCTAATTTTTCAATATTTGTCGAATGGAATATTGCGATATGTTTAGCTCATGAGCCATTTTTCGGCCACTGCAACGCAGGTTTCGATCAAGTCGCTTCTTTACTTTTCGAACTATTTTTGCTGATGTTGCTGTTTTTTCAGTCCACTTCCTTGACGTCGGGCTACGCTACCTGTGACACGGTAACAAGCGATGGTACGATACACAAAAGATTTATTCACATTTAAATGCTGGAGTGCTCTAACGATAGCCACTTGTGGTTTTCCAGCCAAATATAAAGAAATAACCCTATCCCGCTTGAATTCCATCACCAATAACTTTTTTCTGGAAAATTCTCACCAAAATGCTTTTGTACGCTAGTTAACAATATAATGAGCTGTCACTGGTATTATTTTAATAGCTGTCGGACCAGTGGCTTAGTAGTGACAGCAGTCTGAAGTTGGTTACAGTTTCTTCATCTCACCCTGTATTTGTGGTCGATAGAAATTTTAAAATTTCTTGAATCACAGATAGTTTATAGGCATATATTGGTTTCTGAATCTCTTCATAGTCTCACAAAATGCTCCTCTATATATTCAAAATACATACTCTTGTTTTTGGCTTTCGTTTTTTAAAGTAAATCTCTATAATAATCAAACAAATCTCAATTTCTTCTTTTTTAACTTATTCAAATTAAACCTAATTTTATTTAATCATTAATCAAACCATTCCCTGTCTATATATAAATACGATAATGCCTGCTCTGATTGGTGTTGTTTTTATCTATTCTGTTAAAAAAAATTGAAACAAAAATTTTGCATTTAATTCTATTCTTTCTCTCCATGTCTTCACCACTACCACCATCACAACTACCTCTTGTCACACCCACCAACCAATATCGTCATCGTGCCTAAATTTATTTTCTATAATTTTCTAAATTATATAATTATATATTTTTTTGTTTTTATTGCATGCCCCGATAAAACCAAAAAAAATCTACTCCTCTGTCTCCTCCTCTCATTTGGGTTTTGTTTGTGTTGTGCGAAATCAAATATTTTTGCCAAAATCAAAATCGATGTTAAAACATTTTTTGACTGAAGAATGCTCGAGTTTTATTCAAAACTCAACGCTCGTTTTCGGTACCCACCACCAAAGATCCAAATAATGCGAGTGGAATCGAAGAACGTCAGGTATAAAATAAACCAAAATTTCTGTTATCAATTCTACTTTCTTTCTTCCTACTTTCTTTTTTAGACTTTCCTCTTTACCTTTTTTTTTATTTTTTTACACTGTTTTCGGTTTTTAGTTGAACTTTACTTGTTATTGTCTTTGTTTCTTACAAACCATGCACCTTAGATTTAAAAACTATTAAACTATTTTGAAAACACTTGAAAACTGTTTAAAACTATTTTGAAAACACTTGAAGGGTAATACTTTATAATTTTCCGATTTCATATCTACTTTAGTAACAAGTTAAAAGATTTGTTTAAAATTTCCTTTTTTTCAAAAACATAACCTCACTAATAATCAATTTTGTACTTCCAAAAATAATACATCGAACAATTAGGCAGAATTTAACGTTTATTGTTATTGAGAACTTAATATTTCCAAAATTGGAAACCAGTCCATGGATGGTATCGTAGAAAATTTAATATCCGCAAATCTTTTCATATTTGTGTTAACATCGGCCATTGCTTCCTCTATATTTTCTTCCGAACGATGACATTTTTGAAGTAATTTAACCAAGGCCAATTATTCATAGATGACTCTTGAGTGTTTTTAACCTATAGATGGCCTTTCGAGCATCTTCTATTTTCTGAGGGTTTTCTACCCCTATATAGCAATTTAACCAAAATCTATACTACAACTATTCATGATTGACCTGATGGTCCCCAGAAGACCTTCTGTGAGTCTTTTATCCATAGAAGAACTCTTGAGTGTTTTTAGCCAATAGAATGCCTTTTAAGCATCTTCTATTTTCTGAGGGGTCATAGACGACCTTCTGGCAGTTTTTATGCTGACCTTATGTGAGTATTCTTTCTACGGAAAACCTTCTGATAGTCTTCTATTCTTAGAAAACTTCTGCTAGTCTTTTACCCCCATCCGACCGCCTTTGAGAGTCTTGTTGTCACAGAAGTTTTTTTTTGCAAAACTTACATTCCTTGAAGTCACCTGGAAAAAAAGTTGATGTCTTTTATCCATCACAGACCTTCTAAAGACATTTTAGGCGTGGAATAGCTTCTAATTTCATCTGTAGAAGTCCTTAACTCCTTTATTTTTAGATTTTTTTCAGGATTTTCATTTAGAAGACCTGCGAGTCATTTTTTCTCTTACCTTCTGACAGTCCTCATTTACCTTTTGAGAGTTTCCTGAGAGCTTTCTTTCTGGAGAAGACCTTCTGAAAACCCTCTATCCTTCGAAGACTTCTTGAAGGTGTCAAACAGACTTTTGTTCATAGAAGGTTTTTATTCATTGAGAACCTACTAAGGAACTTTCATTCGTTTCAGGGTCCTCTTTTACCTTCTGAGAGTGTTCTGAGGGGTTTCTTTCCAGAAAAGAACCTCTGAATGCCCTCTATTCCTCGAGGTTTTCTAGAAGGCCACAGAGGGACTTTTATTCCTATAAAGTCTCTTGAGGGATTCTTTATTCATTAAAGACCTCTTAAGGAACTTTCGTTCGTACCTTTTAAGGAACGTAGATCCTTCTGCGGATCTTTTAAGGGTCTTTTACCTGTATGAGTTTCAGGGTCCTCTTTTACATTCTGAGAGTGTTCTGAGGGGTTTCTTTCTAGAGAAGACAATTTGAAGGCCTTCTATCCCTCGAAGACATCTGGAAGGCCTTAGAGTGACTTTTATTTATAGAAGGCTTCCTGAGTGGTTTTTATTCTTTAAGACCTCCTAAGGAATATTCATTCGTAAGGAACTTCTAAGGAACGTAGATCCGCAGAAGGTCTTTTAAGGGTTCTCTTTTACCTTCTGGGAGTATACTGAGGGGTTTCTTCCCAGAGAAGGCCTTCTATACCTCGAAGACATCTGGAAGGCCTTAGAGTGACTTTTATTCGTAGAAAGTGTTTTTTTCATCCATTAAAGATCTCTTAAGGAGGTCATTTCATTCGAACCTTCTAAGGAACGTAGATCAGCAGAAGATCTTTTTGGCCTCTTTTTATTGAAGATCTTTTGAAGGCCTTCTATGCCTCGATTTTTAGAAGGCGAAGGAAGAGATGTATTTTACAAAGCCTCCTGAGGTCCATTGAAGACTACATAAGGAGAGCTTCTGAGGATACTTAGATAAAAGGCCATCGACGCATAGAAGGTCAATTGGGGGTCTTACGTCCACGGGGGACCTTCCAAGGGTCTTCTGTCTGTAAAAGACTTTTTTCCCTGGAAGACTTTTGCAGATCTTCTATCACTTATATCTTTTGAAGAAGTTCAGAGAGCTTTGAGGGCATTTGAGGGTATGGGTTCCTACTACATTTTCCGGGCTTATTATGCCTATTGAATGATCTCTGAGGGTTTTTTTATGTATAGGGCACCCTCTAAATATCCTATATCAAAAGAAAACCCTTCTAAAAAATTAGAGGCTCTTCTATCTATAGCAGACCCACTAACACGCATCTATCTACAGCAAGGTCTCTGAGGTTCGTAAAATCTACAGTAGAACCTTTTATGGTCTTCTCTCTACAAAAGAATATCTGGGGTCCTCCTATCTGAAAAGAAGCCTCTGGGAGTATGCTGTCTAAAAGAGCGACTTGAGGTCATTTATCTATAGGGAGGCTGTAGGGCTTACTATCTATCGAAGAGTCTCTGGGAGTCTTTTGCAGAGAGCCTATGAGTCTTTTCCATCTATAGAAGAATCTTCTATCTATTTAAGAGCCTCTAAAAGGATTTATATCTATAGAAGATCCTCTTAGAATCTTTTATCTACAGAAGAGCCTCTGCGGGTCTCCTATCGTCAGAAGAGCTTTTGAGTGTTTTCCATCTACAGAAGAGCTACTAGGCGCTCCTAGAGTCTTCTGATTACAGAGGCCCCTAAGGGCTATATTTCAGTCATCCTTACTGAACCTTTAAAAAGACCTCTGAAGTTATTTAAGGATTTGTATCAATAGAAGCGCCTCCATGGTATTTTATCCATAGAAAGACCTGTAAGGATCCATTTCTTAAGTAGAATCTCTGAGACCCTTGTCTATAAAAGTACACTGGGGATTGTGTTTCGATGAAAGATCCTCTCTGCATCTTCTGCCCACAAAAGTTTCTCTGCTGAAGAGCAGATAAAGATCTTCTCTCTATATATGCTTCAGAAAGGGTCTTCAGAATAAATATCAGGAGTTCGGAGGGTCTTTCACCTATACAAGTCGTCTATTGGTTTCTTATGTAATGAAAAGATTACTAGGGTCTTCTATCCTAGAGGAAAGCTTAGGATGAGCTTATTACATAGAATAGTCGTTAAAATGCCTTCTGAGTGTCGTTGGTCCTTCTAAGATATACAAGAGTCCATAGAGGACATTTTGGGGGTCTTTCATCCATACTAGATCTTCTTAGGGACTTTTATACATGTAGAAGACTTTGGTCCATGGAACTGGAGATATTCTATCAATAGTTGTCCTTCTAGGATCTTTTGAGTCATCTGAGAGATAAAATACTCTCAGAAAAGACTTTTTTAGGGTCCTCTCTACAAGATATCTTCTTAAGAGCTTCTAGCTAGGAGAGAACCTCGAAGACTACTAAATCTTAAGGATAACTTCCAAGAGCCTGCTAATCACGGAAAACATTATGGAGGTATTCTGGCCTTTGATGATTTTCCGAGGCTCAGGTCTCCTTTTTATATTGGCCCTCTATGAAGACCTCTCATATAAAAAAGGACATCTGCAACGGATTTCTATAAATTCGAAAGACTCTTAGGGGCTTTAAGTGTTTTATCTATATAAGTCTGCTACTAATTGAAGAAATTCAGTCTGTAGGAGATCTTCGGAGGGTCTGTAATCTTTAGAAGAATATTTAACAGTCTCCTCTTTATAGAAGGTCGGTCTTCTAAAGGCCTTTTAGAGAAGACATTTTTTTTGGGTCTTTAAGACAGTTCTATCCATAGGATTTCCGTTTTTTTCTCTCGATATGAGATATTTTAATAGTCTTCTTTTTTTAGAAAATCTTTAGGGATTATAGTGTCCTTGCTGAACCATTTATGATTACCCAGTTTAGTTATCAAAAATTATCTCTGGTTTTGAGAAAATTAATGGGAAAGTCCAGGAACATATGACACGAAATATTTTAACCAAGGATTATAATTTCCCCTCACTCTTCCTAACACAAGAATACATTTTCAGAACATGGATATAACACGTAAAAATTATGGCTTCTATATCTGCACCATGCACCCTATACACATACAAACTCACTACACGTATACTTATGTATTATTGTAGCACCTACAAAAATTATTCAAATATATGTTTATTGCATGACGACAATCATGCTTTAAATAGTGCAATTATTTCGTATCCTTTATCCCATTTTTTTCTTTTGGTTGAAGTAGTGTGTAGGTCATTATGGAGTCCTCTATAAACATTTAATATTTCCCCCTTCTATACTTTTTGTTTTGAAACAGGAACGTGGTTCACGCACCTCCGTTTCAAATGAATCGAATGTTTTGCTCGATCCCGAAGTCCTACCGGATCTGTCGATACAGGCCTTGGTGCTGACCGTGCTGGCCACCCTGGTAAAATACACCTCAGATGAGAATGAGACACGAGTGCTGTATCAATATCTTGCCGAGGGTTCGGTGGTGTTTCCCAAAGTTTTCCCCGTCATGTATGTTGGAAATTCGGAATACATTTTTTACAATGAAATATTAATTTTTCGATTTTTATTTCCAGCCACTCTTTATTGGACCAAAAAATCAACAACATCCTGTCGGTATCCCACGACCAGGTTGTCCTGAACTCAGTACAAAGCATCATTCAAAATATGTTGGCCAGTGAGGACCCATCGCAGCAGCAGTTGCATTTTCTGCAAAGTTGTGGTTTTGGAGGCCTGTGGCGCTTTGCCGGTCCCTTTACCAAATACAATGTAATGGGTGAATGTTCAGAGCTGTTTGTAAATTGCCTAGAGGCCATGGTGGCCATATGTTTGCCCGGGGATGATCAACAAACGCCAATTGTTCCTTTGGTGCGACCCTACAATCTCAGTTCCAGTCTCAGCAGTCTTACTTTAGGGTCGCCCACGGATAAAGGTTAATATTTCCAACAAGATTTTCCGCATTTTCCTTTGTTAGCTTTCGTTTTGAATTGCATAGAGCCTGTAGAACATACATTTTGTAGGACATTAATTTTCAGTTTGCTTGTAAATGGCACGAAACACCCCTAAAACCCACTCCCACCCATAACATCCTTGCAAATAATTTTAACTGGTATCCCTTGTCCTTGTTGTTGTTTTTCTTTTTTTTTTTAAATGGGCGTTTGTTGTAAAGTTGTTTCCATATTTCATTTTTCTTTGTCTTTCGTTCTGCCATTTTTTTCACTCTTTTTTCTTTCTTTCTTTTTCTCTCTGTAAACCGTTGTAGCTTTCTCATCGGAATCATTAGATCATGAATTCGGCGGCAGTGTAAGCTCCCTCCGCCGTGCCTCACACAGCAAAGCACGCGCCAAGCACCGCTTCACCGATAGCCCATCCCATAACAATTAACAAAGATTCTGGATGATAGAAACACAGGCACCCATCATCTACATCCGGGCCAAGAATTTCAAACGTCTAACCATCATTCACACTCACCGCCACTAGCGAATAGCGTTTACTAACCTCAAATTTAATTGAGATCACCTAAAATTAACTAACCGAACACAGAAACCACCACCACCACCAAGTAGTAGAACCAAAACTTAAACTAACTGTTATATAACACATTATTTAATAATTGTTAAATGAAAAAATGAAAGAAAATCACGTATTTTGTAAATTATTGATATGCTGCTTTAATCTATGGAAACACATCGAGATATTTACACACACATATATATAGCTAGTCAATCTTAAGATAATTTTTATTTTTAATTTTTTTTTAATTTTTTTTTTTTTTTTGAGTTTGAAAAAGAATTCGAAATGTAGTTCAAAATTTTTTTTAAAAAATGAATATCAGTGCGGAATAATCCAAATTCCCACAATTACATATGTATATATGGTATGTGTACTAATATTGAATGTGATGCCATTCAAAAAAAGTATAAAGAAATTGGAAATTTCCACTTACCTCAGATTCAAGGTGAGAAACCTGCAAAGAAAATAAATTATTAAAATCATCTGCATACGATTCATAAGATATTTTATAGATATAAAGGGCCTTTATGAAAAAATATATATTTACTCTATAAGAAAATTTGAAAAGTCCTAGGCCCCTATCCAACCTTTATACATCGTAACAAATTTTCAGACTTTCGATGTTTTATATTTCATTTAAGTTATTCCTTTTTCGGAAAGAATAATAGGAAACTGTTTACATTTCACACCAAAAAGTTTTCAAAAAATTTAATTTTAAAGTTTACCGACGAGGAAATTGATAAAACTATTGCACACCTCATTTTCCTATCCGAAACTATTTCAACGTCTTCATATGTAAGCCCTAGAAACCAACAGTTACTTCAATATCAAATTTCAGAATTTCAGTTCCAATACCAAATTTAGTAACATTTAATACGCATATCCAAATCAATGTACATCTCTCCATCCTGGACACCGTGATCCAAAATTAGTACCATTTAGTACTCTTCGAATATAATTTATAGTATATATTTGCAAAACCACCACCATATCTCAACACTAGATAACAAAAGAGACCTCAATATTAAATTTCGGGATTTTAGGTCTATCCCTTCACGCAATACCAAATTTAGTACCACTTAGTTATTTTCGAACAATTATTGTACACATTTCCAAAATCACCTCAATATCTTAAAAACAAACACCAACGGTGAGCTTAATATCAAATTTCGGGAATCCAGCTCTATTGGGTCACACAAATTCAAATTTCCTAAACTTCTACATACCCCAATCCTACACTCCAAATTCCCAAACCTACCTCAATCATGCAATCAAAATTCTAGTTCTATCGGTTCACCCAAATTGTACCAAATTTAGTACATATATGTACAAATTTCCAAAATCACCTCCATTTCCCAAACCTACGCTCCGACAGTAATCTTATTTCCACATTTCAGGATATCGGTTCTATTGGTTCACCGAAATCAAAAGTTTACCAAATGCAGGTACACATAAGTACGAATTGCCATAACTGCCTACCCCATAGAATACAAAATAAATCTTATTTCTAAATTTCAGGATTCCAACTTTGCCGGTTCTATCAAAATTGTAAGATATTCAGTACAATGTAGTACACATAAGTACGAAGTTCCAAAACTACCTACATACCTCAGTTCTACAATTATCTTATTTCCAAATTTCAGTATTCCAGATCTATCGGTCCGAAATTGTACTAAATATAGTTTCATTTAGTTCATTGAACTATTAGTTCTTTGGACATGACTACAAATTTCGAAAACTTCCTCCATAAGTTTTTAGCTCTAACCGTTCACATGATACGAATTGATACCAAATGTAGTACATTTTAGTACTTTTCGTACACTTATAGTGCGAATTTCCAAAAACCCTTTGTTACATCCATGATAAACTGATGACCCTCATTCCAAATTTAAGAGCTCTGGCTCTACTGCTTCCTCAAATACAAAGGGGACCCTATTTAGTACTTTTTAATACTTTTCGTACTATTCTAGTACGAATTTAAAAAACCCAACCTCATCGGACACCTTCGGACCAAGAGTGACGCTCACCCAAAATGTTAAGATTTTAGTCAGTCAGTTAGTGTAAGTGACTAAATCATCAACGGCAAGGGGAAACGGCTAAATCTAGAATCTTGAAAATTTGTATGTGTGTTTGAAAATTTGAACTATAAAGGTACGAAAAGTACCAAAAGGTGCTAAAATTTGAATCCATTGTATTGGGCAAACGGATAGGGGTTGAATTCCATAGATAGAGATGGAAATTTTTAATCTTGGTGTTGGGGTCACTGCTGATGGGGCATTAAGGACCCTGGTATTGTATAGGGTTGAGATAAAAAGGTGGTTTTGGAAATACGCACCAAAAAAGTACAAAAAGAACTAAATTTTGCATAATTTGGTTTTTAGGGAAGGGATGAAGTTTGAACTCTGAAATTTGGTATAAGGATCACTTCTTGCACGATGGGGTTGATATATACAGCTGGAGTTAGAAATACGTAATAAAACGTACGAAAGGTGCCCTGTGCTACTAAATTTGGTGTTTTGAGAAGGCATAGAGCTGGAAATCTGAAAATTGAAATGAGGGTCTTTAATGTTGTGCAGGACCGATGAACCAAGGGGTATTTGCGAAATTCGTACAATAAGCGTACCAAAAGTATAGAAATGCACTAAATTCGGGGCTTGAATGTTGTGAACGCATAGGGGCAAACATTTGGACCAAATCCGTTTCAGGACATTTGTAGTCTATCTAGGGATGTCGGTCCGTCTGTCTGGCTTGCTGACTGGTGCGCACGATAACTCTCTAAGGGAGTATCAGCATGGTCCAAACTTGGTACATCGTAATATTAGATTTGAATTCGGAGGTGGGCAATATCAGTCCACTCCTTCTGGTACCTCTCCCACAAAATGTCAACATTTTTCAAAGAAAATAATTTTCTGCACAGAAAGAGAAAGGATAATTCGATTTTGCTCCAACTTAGCTTAACCTATTATTTGCATCAGTGCTAGATCAGGTGCGAAAATGGACAATATCGATCTACTCCATCAAGGGCCAAAAATTTTGAGTAATTATGACTCTTATAAAATGGGAAATAAGAGTTCGATTGGCTTAAAATTTCAAATATCCCAATATTTTTATTAACACAAGACTTAGTAAATCTCAATTTTTTCTTTAAGGCAAGATCTGTTATAAAGATGGCAGAGATCGGTCTATTGCTTATGGTACCTCCCCCACAAAGGGTCCAAGCTTTGAATAACCAAAACGATCATAAAAACCGAAATAAGTATCCGATTTTCTTCATATTTCGTATATCCCATTATTTCTACTAACGCAAGATCTGCTGTGAAGATGGGGTATATCGGACCACCCCAAATTTCAATACCTTTATCTGTCATAACAACTTGCTATATCTAAATATTTATCTCTACCAGAAACCTGAGATGAATATGGATTTTATCGGAATTTATGATTTTGCATAAAATTGAATATGAATGTTGGATTTCCTTCAAATTTTGCACATACCAATATTTTTATCTGTATTGGGTGAAGTATGAAAATGGAATACATCGGTCCTCATATTTTCACATTTTCCAAAAATTTGCTCATATCTCGTATAAAGTGTGGAAAGTAGTAGATATAGTCAAAATCTGGCACGTTGTAATGTTTTTTTTTTATCAGTCTTAGGTCAGATACGAATTGGTCAATATTGGCCAACTGCTTCGGAACCTCCCGCATAAAGGGCCAACAGTTTGAATAAGCATAAGTCAAGGCTGGGGGTATAAATCTGTCGACAAAACCGACTGATACTATATTACTAGTTTTCATCAAAAACATCATTACTGCATTTCCAATTCGAGGTATTTTTGGTTCGTAGATAGCAAAATTTATTATAAAAAAAAAAAAAAAAAACACAACTAAAAGCACGGAAATTTCCAAAAATTAACTAAAAATAAAATCAATTCCATTCAATGCAAATTAAACCATCACAAAAGTAGTTAATGAATAATACGACCACTATTAACACCACCTTTGAATCTAAAACACAATGCATTTAATTCCAGAAAATAAAAATAATTTTATTTAAATTAAAAAAAACAAACGTGAACCTAGTACCTTTTAGTAGGAAAAATTATTGTCGCTTGTTGCTTGATGAAAGAAAATTCTGAAAAAAAGATAAAATTTTTTACCAAACAGTGGAACCTCCGCATAAGATAACTTCCCAATTCTTGGGAATGAGGTTTTGAAATTGAATTTTGGGTAATCATTTTTGATTAATGTCATATAAAATTTAATAAAAAAAAAACTGACAGTATTCGAGGTTCTACTGTAGTAATCCATTTAAAAAAACTGCATGTTGTTCCAACAAAAAAACGCAAATTTTATTTAGAAATATTGAAAAGCTTTTTTTGTTCATAAATAAATTACAAAATATATATGTATGTAGTTATTGTAAATGTTATTTATAACAAAGAAAATATATTGTAGCTTTTAAAAATAAATAATGCTTTAACCAATCTCACAACCCAGACTCGTAGAGAACGTACATGTGTACATTTTTATAAACCAATTTATATTTATATTTACAACAAAAATATTAAAATTTAGAATTTATATATAATTTTTGTAGACTTATTTTAATTAATTATTATTTTTATACAACTGATTTTATTTTTAAAATTAATACCCAATTAATAACGAGACTTACATCGCATCAACGGGCTCCAGGTTGTAAAAAACGACGGCCAGAAGCTCTTCTATAAATAGGAGGGCCTCAGGAGGTTGTCTTTCTTCAGAAGACCCTCGGGATGACTTTTAGATATAGAAGACTTTCAGGAGGTCTTCCAGCAAAAGAAGACCACCAGGAGGAATTTTATCTATAGCTGACTTTTGGGAAGTCTATTGTCTATAAGAGGCTTTTAAGAGGTCTTCTGTCTATTAAAATCTTTCAGGAAATCTTCTGTACGTAGAAGACCTACAGGAGGTCTTCTGTCTGTAGAAGACCATCAGGACGTATTCTGTGGACAGAATTCTACAGACACAAGATCTCCCGAAAGTCTTCTATTGACAGAAGACCTCCTGAAGGTCTATAGATAGAAGACCCCCTGAAGGTCTTCTATAGATTGAAGACTTCCTGAAAGTCTTCTGTAGATTGAAGACTTCCTGAAAGTCTTCCATAGATAGAAGACCTCCTGAAGATCTACCATATACAGAAGACCATACGAAGGTCTGCTATAGTAGAGGACCTCTTAAAACCTCCTGAAGGTCTTCTATAGATAGAAGACTTCTTGAAAGTCTTCTATAGATAGAAGACCTTCTGAAGCTCTCCTATAGATAGAAGACCTTCTGAAGCTCTCCTATAGATAGAAGACCTTCTGAAGCTCTCCTATAGATAGAAGACCTTCTGAAGCTCTCCTATAGATAGAAGACATTCTGAAGCTCTTCTATAGATAGAAGACCTTCTGAAGCTCTTCTATAGATAGAAGACCTTCTGAAGCTCTTCTATAGATAGAAGACCTTCTGAAGCTCTTCTATAGCTAGAAGACCTTCTGAAGCTCTTCTGTATTCCGGAAACCTTTTGAAACTCTTCTATAGATAGAGGACCTTCTAAAGCTCTTCTAAAAATAGAAGACCATCTGAAGCTCTTCAACAGATAGAAGACCTTTTGAAGCTCTTCTAAAGATGGAAGACCTGCTGCCGCTCTTCTATAGATAGAAGACCTTCTGAAGTTCTTCTAAAGATAGAAGACCTGCTGCCGCTCTTCTATAGAGAGAAGATCTGCTGCCGCTCTTCTATGGATAGAAGATCTGCTGCCGCTCTTCTATGGATAGAAGACCCGCTGCCGCTCTTATATAGATAGAAGACCTCCTGCCGCTCTTCTATAAATAGAAGACCTGCTACCGCTCTTCTATAGATAGAAGACCTGCTACCGCTCTTCTATAGATAGAAGACCTCCTGCAGCTTTTCTATAGATAGAAGACCTCTTGCAGCTTTTCTATAGATAGCAGACCTCCTGCAGCTCTTCTATAGATAGAAGACCTCCTGTAGCTTTCTATAGATAGAAGACCTCCTGTAGCTTTCTATAGATAGAAGACCTTCTGAAGCTTTTCTATAGATAGAAAACCTCTCGAAGGTCTTCTGCCTATAGAGAACCGTCAGGAGGTCCCCATTCTTAGAAGAACTTCAAGAGGTCTTCTGTGTTTAGAAACCCTTCAGAAGGTCTTCTATCTATAGAAAGGTCTTCAGTATATAAAAGACTTTCAGGAGGTCTTCTGTCAATAGAAGACCTTCATGAGGTCTTCCGTCTATAAAAGACCAAGATAAGGTATTTTGGAAGATATTTTAAAAAGGTCTTCTGGTAATAGAAGATCCTCAGGAGAATATCTCTCAATGCCGTCTATAGATAGAAGACCTATCAATATGTATAGAAGGTCTTCTCAAGGTCTTTCATAGATAGAAGACTTTTAAGAGGTTTTCTGCCTACGAAAAACTCTCAATGGGACCTCTGACTACAGAAGATCTTCTGTTTATAAAATACCTTTAGAAGGTCTTCTGTCTATAGAAGACACTCGTGAGGTCTTCTAACAGTAGAAGACCTTCAAAAGGTCTTCTGTCCTCCCTCTGGACCCTCTGGATGTCCTCGTCCTTATATCGGAGACCTGCCGTAGATCTCCATTTCTTGTTTGTCCATCCTTTTTTATGTATCTCTGTAGACTTGACTAATCTCACTTATGTTTTGCATTTTTGCCTTACACTTGATTCCATATATGTGTTCTATATAATATTTCCCTCTCTTTCCTTTTTTTGTTTTCTTTCTCGTTTACTTTCAGCTGCATGAATAACAACAAATCAGCCACGCACTAGACGTACAATGTTCAGGAATTTTTTACGTTTTTTAAATCTTTTCAAAAAGTGTTTTTGAATTCAAAGAATTACCTACTACGAGAGTGGATCTGTGAAATTTTGTTATTCCTTGGGAATATTGAAAATATTTGAATATTTATCCTATATCATCGGTACAGCTCCCCTATTTCGCTATGGAACTACACCCAGACTATTGGAATTTAAAGAAACAACTATTGACGTCAAAATGCGTTGGTTTAAATGTATTTTGTGATTGGCCTTCTCCCTGCCCATTTTGGGTTAATTTGAAATTTATTAATTTTTTGTTGGCAGTTTGGAAAATGGAGTGATGGAGTCTGAACTTTGGCCAGGGATCAAAGGTTGGGTTATAAAGCAAATAATCAAATAACTGATGTCAGGTCTTAAACTCTGAATACACAGATCAACAAAATCTGATTAGACCCATAAAAAAAAATTTGAATAAAAATGAGTCTGCTTATAATCGAAGAGGTTACTGCGATATCTACAGGGTAAGATAAAAAAACTGCAAACAAAGATCTTACGCCAAAATTTTTAAATTTTTTTAATTTTTAAATGAAAGCAGAAAATGTCGGAAATAACATCAAATTTTAGAATATGTTTAGATTTGTTCGAATAGGTCACCTTTGGCACAAATTATGGCCCTCAAACGGCCAATGAAACCGTCACTCCCTGCCCGAATGTTGCTCTGCGGTATTTTGGCCCATTTGGCCCGGCGGAGCGCTTGCTTGAGTTGATCGACACTTTGGTATTTTTTAGAGCCAACCTTGCTTTCAAAAATACTTTAGCGGATTGGTATCCGCAGATTTTGGTGGCCATTGGTGGCGCTGGGAATGAAGCGAGGAAGCTCATTTTGTAACCATTCTTGGGTGGCGCGTGCTGAGTGCGATGTTGCCGAGTCATATTGTAATGTCCAAGGTCCTTGCGTGACCAAGGCTTTAATACACCCTCCAGAATATTTTCGCAATAATATTCGGCATTTATTCTGATGCCACGGTCGACTAATACGAGCGGAGAGCAACCATCGGCTGTTATGGCGGCTCACACTATCACCCTGGCCGGCGCTTGAGTTCTGGTGGCCAACCGAAGGTGCACATTTCAGCAGACCTCTTTGGCAAGTTAATACGTTCATTTTGTTTGTTTACAAACTGCAGGACAATGAATGTTTTCTCGTCGGAGAAAACCAAATTAGGCAGTTTACCACTTTCGGCCAAGCGTTGACCACTTTCGGTCTATTTTCTTTTTGTTGCGGTGTAAGTTCTTGCACTTTTTGGAATTTCAATGGCTTTACCCCGAACTCATTTTTCAATATTTGCCGAATGGAATATTGCGATATGTTCAGCTCACGAGCCATTTTCGAGGCCACTGCGACGCGGGTTTAGATCAAGTCGCTTCTTTACTTTTCGAACCACTTCTGCTGATGTTGCTGTTTTCTTCCGTCCACTTCCTTGACGTCGGGCTACGCTACCAGTATCACGGTAACGAGCGGTGGTAGGAGACACAAAAGATTTATTCACATTTAAATGTCGGAGTGCTCTAACGATAGCCACTTGTGGTTCTCCAGCCAAATATAAAATATAACTTCTTTAATCTACAATTTTTTTTCCTTTAATTTTTTTTGAATTTATTTTTTTGAGGAATAATTTGCATAGCATTTTCTGGGATCGGAAAATGTTCATAATTTTTTCCCCTATTGCTTCCTTTTTCATACTGCCAAGAACAACAAAGAATCTCCTTTTTTACTCCAAAATACTGTGGCACAGCTTTCGAAATCTCAAGAAAAAGAATATCTCTGTGCCAATTCTAAATCAAATTATTTATAAATATTTGTAAAAAATTAACTATTAATAAACTAATAATTTATGTGTTAATTTATCTATGTCTGAGTTTTTTACATTCTACTGTATATTTTAGTTATTTTTTGTATAATATTTGTGTTAATAAATATTAATTTTTTTTTATGTAAGGCTATTTGAAAATTGGACCATAAGACTTGTTTTTCTAGATTTCTTTATGTGTTCAATGAAAAATGATTTTTTAATAATTTATATTATTTTATAATTTATATATACAAATTTTAACAAGGTCACAAACCTTATCTAAACTAAATGTTCTAAACTCAAACCCAACCTAGAAACAAAAAAAAACTACTAATTTAACTCAAAAAGATGATGATATAAAGGATTTTTTTTCGAAGAAAATCAAACCACTTACATATATATATTCCTGCTTTTAAACAATGAATTGTTATTTAATTTTTTAATATTTCATTTTTTCTTATAAGTTCCATTGTAATGCACAAAAAATAAAAACACAAACTTTAAAACAGATTTAAAATAAACAACAAAACTAACAACGTACAAAGAAACAAAGCACCAAAAAATAAAAACAAAAGAAAAAAACAACCACTTTAAACGATACTTATTTATATAAAAAAATAAATAAATAAAAATTATATATAGAAAATATTTTGCGAATTATATGTATATCGAATCTAAGAAAACTTTAAGAAAAATGGACAACAAATCAAAAAAAAAAAAAAAAAAAAAAACGGAACAACAAACGAAAAAATGTTTTAAAATTAAAAGAAAAAAGAGGAATCACACAAAAACTCATATTCGAAAAAATAAAAAAAAATTAAGGGTCGCTATGTATTGACTGGTTAAAATACACTTACTTCAAAGATATCCCTCCTTTTTTGAATGATCTTTCAATACGAAACCCTAAGAAGATGAGGGACGTACGCCGACATTCATTTCTAAACCATTTTGGAGGGGGAGACCACCAGGAGGAATTTTACCTTCAGAAGTCCTTTATCTTTTTTTATCTTCCTTCCTTTATCTATAGACGATTCTTAGGATGTCCTATGTCTATAGAAGACCATCAAAAGTTTTTTATCTTTAGAAGACCCTCAGGGAGTCTTCTTTCTATAGGAGGCCTACAGGTGCGCTTCTGTCTATAGAAGAGCTTCAGGTGGCTTTCTGTCTCTATAAGACCTTCTGAACCTCTTCGGTCTACAGAAGACATTCAAGAGGTACTCGGTATATAGAAGTTGTTTAGGAGGTCCTCTATCTATGGAAGACCATCAGAAGTTTTTCTTATCTTTAGAAGACCTTGAGAAAACCTCTCTTTTGAAGACCTTCTGAAAGTCTTCTGTCTATAGAAGACCTTCAGAACCTCTTCGGTCTACTCAAGACATTCAAGAGGTATTCGGTATATAGAAGTCTTGTGTCTATAAAAACGTCCAGGAAGTCCTCTCTCTGTAGAAGATCTTCAGGAAGTCTTCTGTCTATAAAAAACCTACAGGGGGCCTCTTATCTAAAGAAACCCATCCAAAGGTATTCTGTCTATAGGAGAAGACAAACAAAAGGTCCTCGGTCTTCAGAAGACAAACAGGAGAAGACAAAAATGAGTTCCTCGATCATTAGACCACATTCAAGAGGTCTTCGGTCTATAACAGTCTTTTAGGAGGTCTTCTGTATAAAAAAGATCTTTAGGAAGTCTTCTGTCTAAAAAAAGTCCTACAGGTGGCCTTCTGTCTGTAGAAAACCATCAAGAGGTATACTGCCTATAGAAAACCTTCAGGAGAAGACATTCAAGAGAAAACCATCAAAAGGTATTGTGTCTATAGAAGACCTTTAGGAGAAGACAAACAAGGGGTCCTCGATCTATACAATAGGTCTGTAAAAAGTCTTTAAGGAGGTCTTATGCCTATAAATGACGTTCAGGAAGTGTTCTGTCTGTAGACGATCTTCAGGAATCTTCTGTCTATAAAAGACCTACAGGTGGCCTATCGTCTATAGAAAACCATCATTCTGTCTATAGAAGAACTTTTATACAGAAGGTCCTTTTTCTTCAAAAGATCCTTTATTTTTTCTTCAAAGATGCATGAAACATATTTCTTAAGAAGATAAACGACGAGGAGGACCTCTAACTGCCTGAAGAATTTCGCTAGTAAAAACAAAAAAGGAGTATGGTGTATACAATTTATGGAAGTCGTTACTTCAACATCTTATCCATAGATTAGATGTTGAAGCTCAATGTGGGATGTTATCTTTAAGGATCTTTTGTAGTTATTCTATCAAAGCCACGCCATACAGGGATCTCCAAAAATATCGTAGATGTTTAATTTTCCACTCAATCTCATAAGGGCACAGTGATGTCCTACTATGGAAACTTCAAAGTTCGTGGAAACTTCATGAGTTCCTCGGAAGATTTTCTTCAGAAGATCAAGCGTTTTAAGTGAGGAGGTCCTTGAAAAGTTTTAATTTACAGAACCATCGTTTCTGTAGATATAAGGACCTGCTCTTAATCAATGATTTAATTTATGAATATTATCTTAGGTCTTCCTGAAAAAAATTATAAATCCTTGTTTTCTTTTAAATTTACAAAACTATTTTCTAAAAAAAGTCGATTTTTATCTATAAAAAATCCTAAACGTTTAGCCATGTAGTCCTTGAAAGTTGCCCTTTTTAAAGATGGAGATGGCAAGGAGGTTCTGGACAATAAAACATCTTCAAAAACCTACCATTTAGTTTGTTCTTGAAACCATTTTCTCAAAAGATCAAGACATTCTAAGTTTCAGCAGCTAAAAGGACCTCCTTACTGAAAATCAATAATTTTTTATGAAAAATTTCTCAATGGCTTCCTGAAGAAAAATGGTTGATATCTGGAGAAAAGAAATCAAAGACTTTCTCCTTAGAAATTTTTTAATGTACGAAAAAATTTCAAAAAAAAAAAAAATTTTTTTTCTTTAAAAAAACTTCAATTTTTAGCTTGAAACTGTTCCAATCCAAGATTTTGACGGGTAAGTCCTTAAAATAAATTTCTTCAAAAGCTCACGAGATCAAGACCTTCTAAGCTCCTGCAGATAAAAGACCTTTCTAACAAAAATCAATGATTTTATTTATGAAAATTGTATCAGGGACCTCCTGAATAAAAATCGTTGATATTTTGAGAGAGTAGTTTCAAAGACTCTCTAAATTTTGGGAGTTTTTCTAATATACGAAAGAATTTCCTAAAAACTTTTTTCTTAAAAAAATCTCAATTCTTAGCCAGGATGGCCTTGAAACATTTCCCCAAAAGGATCCCAGTTTTTTTTGGCAAGGATGCCTTTGAAAAAATTCTTCAACGCTCAATATTCAGGAAGCCTTTAAAAAAATGTTCTCAAAGGGTCAAGACCTTCTAAGCTCCTGCAGTTAGAGGACCTCTTGACTAAAAATCAATGATAATAAAAATTGTCTCATGAAAATGATATTTTCAGAAAATTAAAGAAATCGAAAGACTTTCTAAATTTTAGGAACATTTTTATATTTTTTTAAAATTTTTTTTTTAATTTTTTCCTTAAAAAATCCTCAATTTTTAGACAGGAAGGCCTTGAAGATCTTTGACGCGTTTTTCTCAAAATATGAACGATTTTCAGTCAGAGACAATTTTTGTGAAAAACTTTAGCTTCAGCTTGAGAAGGTCCTCATTATATATATACAAAGTGGCAATTCCATGTAAAGGATAACTGTTAAATGTCCTTTGTTTAAAAAATAACTTAAAAAGAGTTCTTTTTCGAGAATATAATTTTAAGGTCCTCCACCACCGTTATTAGTTATTTGGCATAAAAACATAATTTTTCCAATATAGAACTTTAAGAAGTTGTCAAAGTATATTCTGGTTTACCAGACCTGCTAAATTTGATCCTATGACCTCTGAAGTGGGGGAATTTATTCAATTTCAAAACCAATTGAAGTAAGTGTATTCAGAATACCTTATCGAAATCCATGGTCGGTATTGTTGGCCCTAGCTATCCTATGTAAACAGGAAACAAAAAACAAAAACACAGTTGGCTAGAACGTGTTTAACTAAAACTTACCAACTCACCCAAACACCAATCTCACCATTCTGCAAAAGAACAAAAAAGAATCATTATTAAGTTTTAAAATTTTATTAGCAAAAAAGAAACAAAAAAAAGAATAGAAATATATTTAGTAAAAATTAATTGAAGACGAATGAAAAATAGTTACTAATCTCAAAAGTACTCGTATCACAAAAAAAAAAAACAGAAACAATTTTTTCTCTATTGATGTATAATACCAAAACCGAAAAAAAAACATGAAAAAAATAAATGTTTATTTTTTAGTCAAATGTATGTGAATAAAAAATTCGAAACGATTTTTCGTCACCATAAAATCAGAACAACTATAAATTATATTTACAAAAAAAAAAAAAAAAAGAACAACAAATGATTGAGAAACCAAGAACCATCCTAAAAAACTAAAGAAATATCCTTAATTATGTGAAGGCGATTTGAAACGAAATTCCAAAAAAAATAAATAAAAAAATATGTATGTATGTATGTATGTAAATGTTGCTTAGTCTGCAGCGCTGCTGTTGTGTGTGTGTATTGTTTTGTAATATAAATGTTGAAACTGTAACAAAGGTAATGAGAATTATTGTCATGTATATTAATGATGATGACGATAGTGTATGCGAGAGAGAGAAGCTTAGAACGAATGCTGTTGAAGATAATAAAGACGAAGAACAACGATAAAATCCCCGTTTAAATGTTCGTTTTAATGGAAAATTTATGTTGAAAATGAGATGCTGAGACGATGACGAAAATAAAATGTTTGTTAAAGAAAAAAATAAAAATAATTGATTTTATTATTAACAAGTAAAGTAAGGCTATAGTCGTGCGGCCGACCATGTGATACCCTACAACACTACAATATGTTCGAAGTCCCCTTATATCCAAATACATTGTGAAAGATTTCGTTTTTGAAATAATGTCAAAGAGCCCCGCTCAGAGGTTACCCTTAGTTTTTTGACCCGGAAAATTTGGCCAATATTTACGCACTCCGTAGTGTTGTTAAGTAATCAAAACAATTTCACACGAAAGTTGTGGTCCATTTTACAGTCACCCAAAATACTAGACTTCTTCCCTGACTTTAACTTTCTTCTGATGCGAAATTCCCTGTCGATTAGTTCCAATTGTGGCCTATAGAGCAACTACAAAATTAGAAAAAATTAAATTTTTTAGTCCATTTGCACCTCAAAATGTACATCTTAAGAACAATAGGCTTTAATTCTGACCCTAACCCTACCCCCATGCAAAATTTCGTGAGGATCAGACGATAATTGCGATATGCATGGAATACCCTTAAAACGTAGCGTTGGGGGGTGTAAAAAATTTAGAAAATTTACAATTCAAAGTTGTAAGTCAAATTGAAAACATCGCATGCGATAAAAAATATGACAAAAATTGAAAAAAAAATCGACAAAAGATATTCACTTTTTATTGGTATATTTTTCCGCGATTTTCTTAGATTTTTTTCGTTTTTTGGCAAGAGACCATTCCGAATTGATGGGAATTGTGATAATCGGTCCAGCGGTTCTTAAATAAATAAGATCAATTTTTTTACATATATATTGTACCTATTTTGCAATATATATCCGATTTCTTGGCTATTAGCATCACTGTAATGGTCAGAAGTGACCTTTTAATGTATTTGTGATTTGGCTGGGATGGAAAATATTCGCGGTTTAGTGGGCAGTTTTCTATTTTCTTACATAAAAGTTAGGGTCTATTTTACGATGGTATGTAGGTTTCTGGTCACTCCTAAACTTTAACTCCATGTAATTTTTCGCGTCGTTTGATTCATAATTGTGGCCTATAGAGCAACTGCAAAATTAGGAAATTTTTCTGATTTTGGTCCATTTCAACCCCTAAATATCGTGCGATCATCTCCAAAAACAATACGGTTCTATTCTGACCATAACCCCACCTCCATTTTAAATTTCGTTATGATCGGTTCATAATTGCGACCTTGATTACAAATTAACATGGATAGGCGGACGGACGGATGGACATACATAGCTAGATCGACTCATCTCGGCGAGATAGGAAGATCCATATACACATTCCTATGTGGGAAACCAAAAAACTGCAACAAAGTCAAACGCCATAATTTTTAATTCTTTTTTTTAATTTTTATGAAAGCAAAAAATGTCGGAAATAGCATCAAATTTAAGAATAAGCACGAATTATGGCCTTCAAACGGCCAATGAAACCGTCACACGCTGCCCGAATGTTGCTCTGTGGTATTTTGGCTCATTCCCGTCAAAGCGCTTGTTTGGGGTGATCGACACTTTTGGTATTTGTTAGTGCCAACCTTGCTTCCCAGGATACTTCAGACACAATAGTCCAAGGAATTGGTATCCGGAGCATTTGGTGGCCATTGTGCACTGGAAATGAAGCGAGAAATTTCTTTTTATAACCATTCTTGGGTGCTGAGTGCGATGGTGCTGTTGTTCTGTTGGAATGTCCAAGGTCTGCGGCCAAAATTTTTGCGTGCCCTAGGCTTTAATACACCCTCCAGAATATTTTCGCAATAATAATCGGCATTTATTCTGATGCCACGGTTTAATTAATATGAGCGAAAAACGACCATAGGCTGTTATGGCGGCCCACACCAGCACCATGACCGGCGCTTGAGTTCTTGTGGCCAACCGAGGGTGTACATTTTCAGCTGACCTCTTTGGCAAGTAAACACGATCATTGTGTTTGATCATACAAAATGCTGGACAACGAATGTTTTCTCATCGGAGAAAACCCAATTCGACAGTTCACCACTTTCGGCCAAGCGAAGCAACTCTTTAGCTCTATTTTCTAAGTATATTTTCTTTCCGTTGCGGTGCAAGTTCTTGCACTTTTTATACCCTCCACCATACTATGGAGGGTATATTAACGTTGTCATTCCGTTTATAACTCCCCGAAATACTCATGTCAGACCCAACAAAGTATAGATATTCTTGATCAGCGTGAAATTCTAAGTCGATTTAGCGGTGTCCGTTTGTCTGTCCCTCTGTCTGTCTGTTGTAATCACGCTATCTTTTGAACGAATTGAGATAGAAGGCTAAACATTTGCACACATGTTTATTTTTCCAGTAGGCAGGTTAAGTTCGTAAATGGGCCATGTAGGTCCACGTTTTCATATAGTCCCCATATAAGGATACCTCCCGATATTCAGTATTTTGATGATTTTAGCGACATTATCCACCGGAATTGTTTCAAATTTGGCATTTGAAGTTCGAAATGGATACTACAGCCAATTAAAGAAAATTGTCTGTGCAGGTCCCCGTCTTCGTATAGCCCCCATATAACGATACCTCACAATATTCGGTATTTTGATAATTTTAGCGACATTATTCACCGGAATTGTTTCAAATTTGTTATTTGATGTTCGAAATGGATATTACAGCCTAAGACACAAAATTGCCTGTGCAAGTTCACGTCTTCGTATAGCCCCCATATAACGATACCTCCCGATATTCGGTATTTTGATGATTTTAGCGACATTATTTACCGGATTTGTTTCAAATTATGTATTTAGAGTTTGTTATGGGAACTACAGTCTGTGACAGAAAAGTATCTGTGCAGGTCCAGGTCTTTTTATAGGCTCTATACATCAGTACCTCCCTATATTCGGTATTTTGACGAGTTTAGGTACAATACCCACCGAAATTGTTTGAGATGTCGTATTTGAAGTTCGTAATGGATGCTATAGCCTGTGACAGAAAATTGTCTATGATGGTCCAGGTCTTCGCACAGCTCCGATATAACGGTACCTCCCTATATACGAAATTTTGATGATTTTAGCTGCGTTATTCACCGTTTATTTCAAGTTTCAAATTTGAATATGGTAATGGCTTAACACAGAAAATGCCTATGTAGGTCCACGTCATATAGACCCCAATATAACGGCTATATTCGATATTTTTAAAATTTTAACAGAATTTTTAAAGGATTTAATTTTTTGAAAATTTCCAAATTCGTTCCAAATGGTGGACGGTATTCAAAGTTCGGCCCGGCTGAACTTACAGCCGAATGGAATATTGCGATATGTTCAGCTCACAAGCCATTTGTCGGCCACTTCGTCGCAGGTTTCGATTTACTTTTCAAACCATTTCTGCTGATGTTCCCACTTCCCTGACGTTGGGCTATGCTACCAGTATCACAGCAACGAGCGATGGTACGAGACACAAAAGATTTAATCACATTTAAATGATGGAGTTCTGCAACGATAGCCACTTAGTATTCCAGCCAAATATAAAGAAATCACACTATCACGCTTGAATTCCATCACCAATAACTTTTTTTCCGGAAAATTCTCACCAAAATGCTTTTGTACGCTTGTTAACAATATAATGAGCTGTCACTGGAATAATTTTAACATCTGTCGGACGAGTGGCTTAGAAATGACAGCAGTCTGAAGTTGGTTGCAGTTCTTTCATCTCACCCTGTAGGGCACTAGGGTTTATTGGAGCCATTTTAAAATGACCATAACTCCTTAAATATTGTCCTTTCGGGATTTTTAGCTATGGTTTGTAATCAGCTTTTTAAAGTGGAAAGAAAACGTTTTTTGAAATGACCATAACTCCTAAAATATTGACATTTCGGGGTTTTTAGCTGTTTTGTGATAAGGTTTTGTATTTAAAATGGCCATAACTCCTGAAATGTTGACATTTCGGGGTTTTAAGCTATGTTCTGTGATTAGCTTTTTAAAGAGGAAAATTTTCACATTTTAAAATGGCCATAACTACTTAAATATTGACATTTCGGGGTTGTTAGCTACCGAAGATCTCCGAGGTTTTCCATTTACTGAACGGTTCATTTAATTTGTTTTGCTTCACAATAAACTTTGGTGATATTAATATCTCTGCCTATGCAATTTTAAATCCGCCAGACACTTGAGGCTTCTTGAATGTTTTTTTTTCGGAATATTTTTGTTTATTAAAAAAAATCAATTGAAATTATCTTTTTGCGATAATGACCCAAATAATTGAACAGATAATCGTGGCTGCTATAAAAACCTTCTACTCCGTCAGCCGTTGCTCAGTTGTTCAACGTAGCGTTCAAGTGAAACAATTATCCGGAAACTTCTCGGTGACGAACTACTACCACCCAATCGCAATAATGTTGGCAAAATTTGTGATTGTTTTTATTTTGTTATCAGTTTTGTGTTTAACGTGTCTAGCTCAACCGCTGGAAAATCGTGCGGCCTGCCCCCAGATTTGCCCAGACAATTATGATCCGATTTGTGCCACCGATGGAAATAGCTTTTTAGAATTTCCAAATTCTTGCGAAATGGATGCCCATAATTGCCAGCTATTGAGTGATTCGAAACAAGGTAAGTTTGGGGAGAAAAATATATAGGTATTATTAGAAATAAATAATTATTTTTCTTTTAATTTCAGCCTTTGAAACATCGCTGGATTTGGATATGTGTCGCTGAAGCAGTAAATTAATTTATATTAATTTTTATAATTCATTAAATTATATTAAAAATTATATTATATTATAAAATATTTTTTTGTTAAAATATGATTGTAACGCCTCAAAATATTGCTATTGATTTGTAATCAGGCTACAGGTCGAAAATATGGCCTGTACTTCAGGAATGAATGGAGCTGAGTTAGGTTCAGAATAGAAGCCTGGAGGGTTGATATGGACAAAAAAAAAACAGAAAAATCTCCTGATTTCGCAGTTGCTC